TTATTGTATGTATACAAGATTTATAGGGGAATTGTAAGCCAGTAACTGGGTACAGTGGGACATTTCTCTTCTACTTATCATTGTAGTTAACTAGTTAGTACGGTTTTTCTGAATTTTAAAAACACTTCATATTTTGAGAACATTTTTTACTCAAAAGAATGGAAAATAGTTTTTGCTTAGCTAGCATTATGGAAAAATATTGTTTGTTAAAATTGCTGAAAGTATTGAGAAATCTCTTAACTATATATACAGGAGTTTCCCTAGATATTTAAGTGAAATTTTGCAATGAATTTCATGTTGAATATTTTGAGACACATCATAACCAAATAGAGAATTAGGTCTACAATAAATAAATAAAGGAATGCAAACAAAATTACTTTTTATTGCTCACTTAACAATTCAATTAATGATTAATAACTATTTTTTTTTGTGCTACTAAATAGTTTCACTAAATGATTAATAACTAATTGTAATATAATTTCATGTATAATTTGTTTCATATTTGATATGCTGGCGCGGTGAAGGGAAGTGTATGTTATAAAACCAGGCATAAATGTAGTGTTTGCATTACACTAATTTGGTGGGCAAATATTTAAATATTTACTTAGTTTATCATATTTAACTTCAGCTTATTGAGAAGATGGAGGAAGTTGTTGTAATGTGTGATTATATCATATCATTAATAGGGAATTTATAGCTTTATAAACATTATAATATTGTTTATACATTATGTAACCTTTAACCTTTTTGATTCACAAAGTAATTAACCCTTGCCATTAGTATGGACCCAAGCCAACCTGGACATCTGTGCAGTCTGACCAGGCTCTATACTGTTGGTAGCTCTATTTTTGTATTTTGTTATAGAAATAGATATTTTTTATAATATGATTGAATTGTTCCAAATTCAATTATGGGGTAAATATTTTAGGTTACTAAGGGTAAAACATTACTAATACATGTATGAGGTAACTAGTAATCATTGTACCAAGCAAATAATCAAGGAATTTTTTATTAAAAATGTTTAATATCACAAGTTTAATTTCAACTTGACACAAAATATTATAAATATAATTTTTTAGAAATTGCAAAATCTCAGTTTGCAGATTTATTCTTGCAAGGCCCTTTAAGCACAAAAATGCAAAATCATTCTCTCATTCTATTTTCTATATTAAAGCAACACATTTGTCAGTGTTAAAAACTCCGTATCAGCTAGCAGTACTGGTATGCGAATAAAATCAAATTCTGTCTTGTTGAAGCTATGTTTAATTTGCTCTCAAATTTGTCAAACAAAATTTATTTGATTAATTTATCAAAAAGTGCCCTATCATTAGGATTTATTAAGATCTCCTCATTTCGCTTTGTGCCCACCATTACTTAAAAAAAACCCGGCTTTGCCGAGTGAGTAAACTATTTGGGCACACATTATCTGGCCAGTTTATTGCCAATGTTTCATCATTTTAATACTCTAATATGAGGTCCCTTAAAACTACAGGAACTCTGTTTGACATTCTTGTTGTGTGTTGAAATTACGGACATGTGGCGGTTTTTGATAGGACAGACTGAGGTCACTATAGGAATGTAGGTCGGCGGTAATTTACACATTGATAGAGCTGTCTCAACTCTAAGACGGTGTTTACGCATATTTTTATCACCGTTGTACAATGCAAATTTAGCCCCTTTATTGTTTCAACCCTCTAATGGAATTTTTTCTATCTGTTTATTCTAGTTATGACCATTAATTTTATGACTTTTAAATTTTTATTTTTTGAAACATTTGCTGTTAAATAGTACAATTTTTCACCACTTGCAGCTATTTTCATATATTTTTGTTACAATTCATTGGTTAAATATCACTTAATAGCATAAATATTTTAGACATTCTTTTTCATTTCATTTACCTTATAAGGTAACCATGGTTTTATATCAAATCAAGAAATTTGAATGCTCTGATTATGTTGGAAATGTTCTGGACTTTAGAATGTGGTAGTGGAATATTTTCCTGTAATCTTTAACCTATCTAATTGAGATAGATTTGGCAGGTCTATGCTCTTATCACATAGATATATTGATTATTGATTGAAAAGTGTTCAATTTATCAGTTTTTACAGGTTTTCAGTTATGATTTATAGAGTGCTTTAAACTTAGGGATTGTAAAATTCTGTCTCAAAAATGTATGACTTGATCTCCTATCTACAGATAAATTCTTTTATTAGGCTGTGCTAGCAAGTTTTCAAATTTTCTCTTTGAAACAAAATAATAGTTTAATGAAGAAATGGCCAGTTCAGAAGTTAAAAGTTCAGAAACACCCTCTTAGCCATTTTCTAGTCTTCTTTTCATGTCTTAAATGTCTTCTTACATTAATAATACTGTGTCAATGAAAACTATGCAGTTGTTGCAGATTTGTTTAAATCTGTTCAAGGGTCATATAGGTTTCTGAATTGTACAACTAAGGTTTGGTTTCTAGATTATGTGACTATTTTTTTTTGTGTAAGATGCCTTTTTTTCTCTTTTCCTTTATGAAGTGATATTTCTACCCTTTATTTGAGCCATGCTTGTTCTCTCTTTTTCATTATGAAACAAACATATATCTTGTTTTCTCTATAAAACATGTTTTCCTTCTCCTCGTCTATTCAAGATATGCTATTATAAGCCTCTTCCTTGTTTTTCTCTACTTTTCTCGTATATGAAAGGTGGTTATTTCTTTCCTTTCTCTCTATTGGAATACAAAATCTAACAGAGAATCTAAGGAAACACTAACATATACTATAACTGGACGGATGAAGTAACAATACAGTGGAGAATGGACTTAAAATGGGATTTCAAATTTAAATGGTTGCGAGATTTGGGGTTATGGAGTGGAGATATTTGAAGCTGGTGGAGAATTTTTGGTGTTGTTGTGAAGTGGAGAGAGTTTTATCTCATCATCTTGGCCTAGCTTAGGGTGAGATTCAACTCCTCCAACTGCATGCAATATCAGTAGTCAGCTATTTATAGATATGGGAATCACCTTGATCTGCTATTTTTGGAAACAGGAAACTTCTGAAGAGGATATTTCAAGATACAACAAACACATGCTTTCACATTTGGACACTTGAGATGGCACTTTGGAATTTGAAAAATATATCACAGCTTGTTGAGAATATTATAAAATGAACATCAATTATTTTATTCTATTATATATTTTATTATGTAATATGATATTTTAAATTGAATAATATCACAAATTTATTGTGTACATTTCTTTTTTCAGGTGAATTATTTAAACTTCTATTTCAGCCATATATTATATAAATCATTTGAACATTGTGTGCATAAGACAGTTGAAGACGTTTAAACAATTGATAACATATCTATCGTACTACGTGTAAGATGTTCGGTAGTCACAAGATACTTAGATTATATTTCCATAATTCATGTAGAAACATAGCATGACCTATCAAATAATTGAGAACACTAGCAATTAGTTTATGTGGGCCCCTTCACATGATGGTTTAATCGAAAACAAACACATTTTACGTAAAATTTGATTGACAAATTATCCCTTGAGTTATCTCACACTGATATTACATATCTATTATGATCTTAATCAGGTAAATTCATAATCTTGAGACTAGATAGGAGGTGAATCAAACACTTAAAGCCATCAAAGATCATCTGTTGTCATAGTGATGGAGACCTAGTACTCCTTTGGACGCCCCATCTTGTCAAATTTCAAGAGATAACTGGAGATAAAAATTTTGTAGGTTATAGCAAGGACAGCGGTTTGCACATTGATTTTTAACATGAATGTCCTTGTTGAATATTTTATTGTTTGAATATGTAAGATTTTTTTTTTTCATTTAACAATATTTCAGAACTTTTATACATTTAACTTTGGTGGTGGGTGGTAGTATATAGATTTTCCTATGTCCATATGAAGGCTATTTTGTTTTCCAAATATTAAAAATCTTGCCGAAGAACAAAAATTGAAAACTGTCTTGCCTTATAACAAAATTTGAAAAGTTTTGGCTTGTAACAAAAATAGAAAAGTCTTGGCTAAGAACAAAAATTGAGAAGTCTTGCCTCATAACCAAAAATTGAAAAGTCTTGCCTCATTACCAAAATTGAAAGTCTTTCCTCATAACAAAACCCAAAGTATTGTCTCATAACAAAATTGAAAGTCTTGCCTCATAGCTAAAAATTGGAAAGTCTTACCTCATAGCAAAAATGGAAAAGTCTTGGCTCAAAATGAAAATGGAGAAGTCTTGCCTTAGTACACAAATGGAAAAGTCTTGGTTGAAAAGTCTTGTCTCATAGCAAAAATTCAAAGTCTTGCCTCAAAACAAAATTGATGTAATTGCCTCATAACAAGAATTGGAAGTTTTGCCTCATGAGAATAATTTAAAAATCTTACCTTACATTTACAAAATACAATTTTCTCATATGAAATTTGTTTGATGTTTTTGTAATATGTTTTGGAAAAAAAAAGTTATTTCTCTAACACTTTCATTCTTGTTTTTTTTCTGAAGTGGACTTGTCCTTTTGAAAATAGTATATTTCAAACAGTTTTAAGCATTTAAAATCATAAATCTGAGAATTCAGCAATTTAGAATCTTGTAAGATTGAAAGAATATGGTTCAAATCAGAATTCAGAGACATAATATTATGCAGATAAAAGACTAAGGGGCTGCATTTTTCTGTTTCTTAAACTTGAGTCAAGCATGGTTTTAGATTGATAAAAAAATATATCAGATTAAAAATTTTCAGTGAAAATTTATCAAAACACTATTGTTTAGAGCCATTATTCTTTTGAAATGTAAAACTTTAAGACAGTGTTTTCTTTATGAAAATCATTTAAAAGAAAAAATAAGGTAACAATGCAACTGCATATTTTGATATTTTACAATAATTTTGTACATAGTTATTACATTATCAATTGTTTAAACATCTTGTGGTAGTAAGTTAATATACTGGATGTTTGATGTAAAGAATCACAGTCTTAATTTTTACCATATTTTCAGTTATTTCCCCAAGACCTGACTTGCATTTCCAGTCTGCTGACATTTGAACATTTATCATACCTGTGTCAGAATAGCATTATACCAGTTGATCTAGACAGTATTGTCAATACAAGGTAATGTACAAACAGCATACATGTGTCAGAATAGCATTATACCAGTTTATCTAGACAGTATTGTCAATACAAGGTAATGTACAAACAGCATACCTGTGTCAGAATAGCAATTATACAAGTTGATCTAGACAGTATTGTCAATACAAGGTAATGTACAAACAGCATACATGTGTCAGAATAGCATTATACCAGTTGATCTAGACAGTATTGTCAATACAAGGTAATGTACAAACAACATACATATGTCAGAATAGCATTATACCAGTTGATCTAGACAGTATTGTCAATACAAGGTAATGTACAAACAGCATACCTGTGTCAGAATAGCATTATACCAGTTTATCTAGACAGCATTGTCAATACAAGGTAATGTACAAACAGCATACCTGTGTCAGAATAGCAATTATACAAGTTGATCTAGACAGTATTGTCAATACAAGGTAATGCACAAACAACATACATGTGTCAGAATAGCATTATACCAGTTTATCTAGACAGTATTGTCAATACAAGGTAATGTACAAGCAACATTCCTGTGTCAGAATAGCATTGTACCAGTTGATCTAGACAGTATTGTCAATAGAAGGTAATGTACAACCAACATACTTGTGTCAGATTTGCATTATACCTTTTGATCCAGACAGTATTGACAATACAAGGTAATGCACAAACAACATACCTGTGTCAGAATAGCATTATACCAGTTGATCTAGACAGTATTGTCAATACAAGGTAATGTACAAACAACATTCCTGTGTTCCTGTGTCAGAATAGGATTATACAAGTTGATCTAGACAGTATTGTCACTACAAGGTAATGTACAAACAGCATACCTGTGTCAGAATAGCATTATACCAGTTGATCTAGACAGTATTGTCAATACAAGGTAATGTACAAACAACATACATGTGTCAGAATAGCATTATACCAGTTTATCTAGACAGTATTGTCAATACAAAGTAATGTAAAAACAGCATACCTGTGTCAGAATAACATTGTACCAGTTGATCTAGACAGTATTGTCAATACAAGGTAATGTACAAACAGCATTCCTGTGTCAGAATAGCATTATACCAGTTGATCTACAAAGTATTGCCAATATAATGTAATGTACAAACAACATACATGTGTCAGAATAGGATTATACCAGTTGATCTAGACAGTATTGTCAATACAAGGTAATGTACAAACAGCATACCTGTGTCAGAATAGCATTATACCAGTTGATCTAGACAGTATTGTCAATACAAGGTAATGTACAAACAACATACATGTGTCAGAATAGCATTATACCAGTTTATCTAGACAGTATTGTCAATACAAAGTAATGTAAAAACAGCATACCTGTGTCAGAATAACATTGTACCAGTTGATCTAGACAGTATTGCCAATACAAGGTAATGTACAAACAGCATTCCTGTGTCTGAATAGGATTATACCTGTTGATCTAGACAGTATTGCCAATACAATGTAATGTACAAACAACATACATGTGTCAGAATAGCAATTATACAAGATGATCTAGACAGTATTGTCAATACAAGGTAATGTTTAAACAACATACATGCGTCAGAATAGCATTATACCAGTTGATCTAGACAGTATTGTCAATACAAAGAAATGTATAAACAGCATACCTGTGTCAGAATAGCATTATACCTGTTGATTTAGACAGTATTGTTAATACAAAATTATATACAATGATAATTTAGCAAGATTGTCAATATAAGGAAGTGTACAATCATAATAAAGCAAGAAATGTACAACTATAATTCAGAACATCATTGTCAGTCTAAGGGAAATTTAGCATAGGGCAAATTTAGCAATCTATAAAATTTATCAAATGTTTTGGTTTGCACCAGAGATGAAAATAGAAATACCTTTTTATACCTTTCCTCATTAACCCTTCAGTAGATTATGATGAAACTGTGCATCAGTAGTCATTAGAAAATCTTTAAAAAATAATTCTGGTTCACTGAACAAGATGGCTGCCATAGCTTAGAAGAAAAAAACCGAAAAAAAAAAAACCGTTAAATGATATCTTCTCCTCAACCACTTGGTAGAAATAAGCTTTTAATGACATCTTCGCCGCTGTTGCTTGGCCGAACTAAAATTGCTCAACACTCAACAAGATTGTCACAGAAGCTTAAAATAGAAAAGTTTTTAAATGACATCTCCTAGATTTTGATAAAACTGTTCAGCAAAAATCATAAGGTAGTGTTTTACAAGAATTGCTGAAATGGTTCCAGTCTGTAGAACAAAATGGCAGTCAGAGCTATAAAAAGAAATAAGCTTTAAAGACTTGTCCTCCTGAGTTGCTTGATTTTGGATAAAAATACAGAATTATCTGTAAGCTGTCCTTTACTAAAATTGTGCAAAAGGGGCCAGTCAGCTGAACAAGATGGCCACCAAAAACCACATTTAAATGACATCTCCTCCCCAACAACTTGGTAGATTTAGATGCAACAATACTGCAATAATCATTAAAATTTAAAATGTTATCTGTAGCATTATGCTGTGAAAAATACAGCAGTGTAAACTGAAAGCTGTATATGTGCATATAAATAAATGTAATAGTGATGAGACCAACATGAAGTAGTCGCAAAAGTGTGGGGTTAAACAGGGCTTACCCGACCAGAATCATCACACAGGTATTAGTCCTTTACAAAAATTGCTCAAAAAGTCCTGGTCTGAACAAGATACAGAGCTAAAAATAGTTATGAGCTTGTTAGATTTTGATAAACAACAGAAATGTGCCTTCAGTGGTCCTTTACTAAAATTGCTAATATTATTCAGAGTTACTAAACAAAATGGCCACCAGAACTAAAAATAGAAAAACCTTCCTACTCAACCTCTACAGTACTGCATTGATTCTTAGTCCATTACAAACATTGCACAAATTGTCCAGCTGATCTGTTAACAAGGGAAAAGCCCCTTCGCCTGTAATCCCTTTAACGAAAACCCTTTCCCAGGACATTGGGCATGATGGCTCTCGTTTAAATTAATATCGCAGTTACGGGTAAATTTAAAAGGTTACAGAAGTTTTAATGTTTTTAAGTACCCAAAATGTTTTAGTGGGTTATTGGAATCTATAGTATGATTTAAGAAGCAAAGGAAAACTAAGAAAAAAATAAAGGGTGTAAATAAAATGAAAAAAAAAACGAACACATTGATCAGGAAAATATATATAGGAACTGGCATAATATATATACATATACTTAACCCTGCAAGATGTGCAACTAGGGATATACATGTATAAGATATTGATTTGTAGAGAACGATAAAAAATATACATTTATTAAAAAAGTACTTGAAAATTGCATACAAAAATGAAAATACATGTGCAGATTTTTTTTCTGATAAAATGAAGAAATACATTTTTAACACAAAACTCATGTTTGATAAAAATTCTGTCCCAGATTGATGGTTTTAATAATCACAATTTCAATGCAAACATTTTCCTTTTATCACTTAGGTAGATTGGAAGGCCATGAGCTTTTTATTCTTCCGTGTTGCTATGGATCAAATGAATAGGAAAGAATTAAACTTTTTATATTGAAAAGTTGTAGTAAACTGTCAACGGATTCATTGATTAAACAAAACAATGTTTATCAGTGGCAATTTGATAGAAAATATTTTATGCTATAAGAAGGGGTTTTTTTTATAGAGTTTAGGTCAAAGATAATACCAGATTTTCAAATGTTCTAATATATGAAGAACATTTATTAATGTTCTGTTACATGTAGAACTATTTTTAGCTCGACTTCATTTTGAAAAAAAAAAAAAAACATATATTGTTACAGTTATATCAGCATTGCTGTCCGCAAACTTGTACCTTGATTAAAACTTTTGAAGTTGTTTGTGTATTTTCTTATTACTTGGCCAACAAGACGTTCAAGTAGACCAACCTAATCTTGACCTTCATTCATAATGACCTTTACCTTAAAGGTCAAATGTCTAAATTTTGCTTGTTGTTTGCTGATTTTTGCTATTAGTGGCTATAACTTTGATATTTTTGAATGTTTTGTCTTCAAACACAATAACCTTTAAGGATAGACCTTGACTTTCACTCTTAAAAGACCTTGACCTTGAAGGTGAACTATGACTTTTTTTATTATTGAATGGATTGACTTTATAGTAAAACAGAACTTTCTTTAGGATAAGACCTTTATGTATATCAAACTCAAAATTGACCTTGGCTCTTTTATGATTTTCGTACTGGGACAAAACAACCTTTTGGACAAGACATTCTTAAAGGTTGAACTGATCTTGACTTTGAACTTTAAATGACCTTGACTGTCAAGGTCAAAGTATTGAAATTTGGTTAAGCTGTCATAAAATAGCGACATATAGGGGTTACTTTTGTCGGCGGCGTTGTTGGCGTCGGCGTCCCTTTAAGCTTGTCCGGAGCATAAGTCAGTCATTATAAGTGGAATTGACTTCGAACTTGGTATGCATGCTTCTTATAATGACCCAAAGTGCAGTGCACAAGAACCGGAACTCTGCACTTCTTAATTTTTGAATTATTGCCCTTTGTTAATTTTCATACTTTATTTTTGTCCGGGCCATTTCTCCTAATGTATAAAAGCTATGGACTTGAAACTTCATAGTATGATAGATCTCGATCAAGTAGAAGTGCAGTGCACAAGAACTGCAGGTACTCTGCATTTCTTTTTTTTTAGTTATTGCCCATACTTTATTTTGTCCAGGCGATTTCTCCTAAAGTATAAAAGCTATGGTCTTTAAACTTCATAGGATGATAGATCTCATTAATAAAAAGTGCAGTGTACAAGAACCGTACTCTGCACTTCTTTATTTTCTTCATTTTTGTCCTGGCCATTTCTCCTAAACTATATTGTTCACAAGGTGACACATCTGACTCGTGGAGTTCTAATTTATGTTCAGATTTTGATTCATATGTGGACAAAACAACACTTATGCCCAAATAGACATATGGAATAATTAAGATATGTCCTTGACCTTTACATGACCTTGACTGTTAAATGATAGAATTTTCTTATCTTTGTCATTATTTATGGAAAGGATTCATACTTGGACAAAACAACAAGTGTGACTAGACAGACTTATTAAAATTAAGAAAAGGAAAACTTTGTTTAAACCATTTATTTGTTTGCTCTTAGAAAAAGTAAAAAAGTTGACTGTTGCCCCCACCAGGCGATGGCTCTTGTTGTTTAAAGATTTGGCATAAATCATAACACAACAAACTGAATGTTCTTTGAATTACTGTTGTATTATAAATTAACTTAAATATGAAGTTAGGATAGGTATAAACTAGACAATATCTCATTTGTGTACTTAGTACCATTACTCAATTATATCACTTAAACAAATATTTTTACATTCTACCATGTCCAATTTTGGATTAAAGTGAGTGTCATGTTAGTTATAGGTTTATATTTATAAGATGATTTGAAATGTAAAAGTTGACCAGTTGTCAATTGTTAGAAATAAATAAACCTGTGTTTTAAAGCATATTAGATGTTTATCATGTAAAGAAGCTCTGCTGAATGAGAAATAATTTGTCATAAATGGAGCAAAACGTCAACAACTTCCATACAAAACACTGAATCATAAACACTTACCTAATGGCGAAAAAACAAGGTAGTTCAGGTGTGTGACCATTGAGTTTTGTTTCAGAAACTTTAAAAAGAATGAAAGGCTTTTGAGAACAGAATAATACAATTTTAGGTGCTCACTCAGCCTTAAAAGGGACTGCCCAGAGTTTTTGAACATGACGGGACTGGAAATATTTCTTCGAGATTAATGTTCCCTTTCATGTAGATGTAGACCAATAGATTGTGTGCAAAATTTCTGATCATTCTCTGTTTTCCAGAATAAATACATGTATTATAATTGTGAAAAGTAAGCAAATAATGGAAAAGGCGTTGCAACCATTTTCACTCAAATCGCGCTAAGAATAACATTAAAATATGATTTTCTGAGTATATTTCTAGCTTATCTTTTGCATATTTTTTTGTTTTAAGTGCCGCAGCTGATCTATGTAAGAAATTAAGATTTTATGTTTTGAGGCTTTTGGATCTTGGTGGAGCTCCTTTAATTTGATTTGAAATTAGAAAATTTTCAGTTATGCATTATGTGTTTAATGTTTCAGTGTTCATCCTGGATCAAATATATCACAGTTGTCACCTACTGTCAAACATATAGACTTCCCCTTTGATCTTCTCTCATTGTTACCCAGAAGTCAACAAGCTGAACTGTTATACCCAACATACACTTATGGTAAGTAAACTGACCCAACTCACCCTTATTGATAATAGACAAGCCAAACTTACGTTTCCAGTTAATTTGATTGTCCACCTTCTTTGAAATAGTAGTGCCTAATGTATTTTCTGTGAAGTAGTCCTACCCAACTTGCTCTTCCATGATATTCCAGTTAGTAAATTTGCCCAATTCTGAATTTTCTTTGTATTAATCTAGCATATGGTAAACTTAACATGAATGGTGAAATATGGTATTTTGTGAAAGTTTGTTGGTAATGCAATTTCTTTTTATGCCCCCTCAAAGTGGGGGGCATATAGCGTTGCACTTGTCTGTCCGTCCGTATGTCAGTCCGTATGTCCCGAAATCTTGTGAACGCAACTCCTCTTAAACCGGATGGCAGATTTTGCTTAAACTTCCAGGGATGAACAACCTTAATGTGTAGATGGTAGTAAAGGAAGGAATTTTTGCTGCGACCAAATTTAACAGAATTATGGCCCTTTGTTGATTTTTTCACCATGTGCCATATAGAAATTTTGTGAACGCAACTACTCTTAAACCAGATGGCAGATTTTGCTTAAACTTCCAGGGATGAACAACCTTAATGTGTTAATGGTAGTAAAGGAAGGAATTTTCGCTGCGACCAAATTTAACAGAATTATATCCCTTTGTTGATTTTTTCACTATATACTATGTAGAAATTTTGTGAACGCAACTCCTCTTAAACCGGATGGCAGATTTTGCTTAAACTTCCAGGGATGAACAACCTTAATGTGTAGATGGTAGTAAAGGAAGGAATTTTCGCTGCGACCAAATTTAACAGAATTATGGCCCTTTGTTGATTTTTTCACTATATACCATATATATGTTGTCAGTGGGGGCATCCGTGTCCCTTTGGACACAGTTCTAGTTAATTCTGAAATGATTAAGATCAAGGTAATAATTTTGAGGATATTAGCTACTTTTTATTTTCAAAACAAATATGATTGTAAGCAGAAAATCTGAACTTTACATATAAGTATATATTGATATATTAAATCAGACAAAGTATCATTTTACAAAATTGTACTTTTATTATTTCGCTTATAGTTTGCATCATTGTTTTGTTTTAGGAAGCAAAACAGGAAGTGGAGAGTTTGGCAGGGAGGCTAATGATCTGTTATATAACCTCCTTATTGAAGAGTTATCTGGCAGTTATCACAGACAGGTCCATCTTTCACAAGGACAAAGCTGTCACCTCTTACAACATATACTCTCAAGAGATAGATCAACTGAAACTTACCCATTCCCTTTTAAAATTGAAAAACTGATCTCATTGGCTAAAGAAAATAAATCTGACAAATCCAACCAATCAAAGTCTCAGACAACAAATTCAAAATCAAATGTCAGTCATTCACAAGCCAACTCTGTTTCCCAAGGAGCCAAAAAAGATAGTGCAGGTGTTTCCAAGCCTGATAAAGTTCCAGAATGGAAATGCTTCATTAAAGGTGGTGATGCTAGCTCTCTTACACTAACTTTTATTCCTGCTTCCTTTAAGGATGTAATACTTCTAAATGAATCAAATAAAGATTCAGATTCTGCAGAGGGCGACATCAAGACTGAACCAGTTAGTGACCAAACCAGCAAGACTGATAAAAAGGGTGATAAAAATTGTAAACCTTTGGATAAAGTTGGAGAGGGCAGTGATGAACTAGGTAGTAAAACGGAAGAAAATGCTCAAATACCAAAAGATTCAAGTGCAATAGACAGTAGTGTAGATGCAGGTCACAAAGATGAAAAAAGTGAAACAGTTAATACTCAACCAGAAGAGATTATTGATCCAAAAGTTGATGAGATAAATAACAAAAAGACCCTCATTGTTCCAGTTTATATATATGACTGTATAGTTCACAATGTGTTACAGTCCCTTATTAATCCCTGGGACTATCAGGCCCCTGCTGACATTTACCAGGATATGACCTTTGACCCAGTCAGTGAGCAGAATGAGCAAAGTGGGTTGTCTAGCCCAAGATCTCTGAAAAGAGTGTCATTTAGTGTAGAAAGTTTTAAAGTAAGTATGTCAACTGTTTACATGCATGGAATTCTTGAATAACTTGCTTTCAATGCAGAAATGCTGTTTTGTTTAGGAGTGTAAATATTTTTGTGGTTCTAAATTAAAATGAACCTGTTTGGATTTGCTTCTTAAATTTTTAGTAACTTCATAAGGCATCTATTTTCAGAATTGTGAAAATATTCTATTCAATAGTAAGTTGATTGAGATATATTTTTTTAACTGTGTTTCAATGTTTTACAAAAGGATGACCTTGAACCAGCTTGGAGGTTATCATGGAGGTCACAGGAGAGAAGGTCAACAGAGGGATCATGTGACGGAGGGGAAAACCTGTGGCAGCAGTGTTCATCATTGTCAGAAACATTCTATAACTGCTATGTTAAAGGTGTGTGATTATCTGAGTTCATCTAATATTCTTTTCTCCCATTGTTTAATTTTCAACATATTTTGTCTCCTTTTCCCAATAAAATTATGATGTTCTTTGCCTCTTTTTCCATTATTATATACTTTTTCATACTTGAACAAAACAGCATTTATGACAAAACTGTCATGTTCAATAATGCAAGTATTCCTTTGACTTTTAAATAATCTTGACCCTTGAAGTCAAAATTAACATTTTCATAGAATTGGTCATAAAATTATGGGATAAATTTTGTTCATACTTTGATTAAGCAACACCAGCATGTTGATTTATACTTTAAGTATGACCTTTAAATGAAATTGACTGCCAAATGCTGCTTCTCAAATGTGTTCCATTTTGGAAGTAAGAAAAGGCAGTACAAGGTCCTGCTTGCTGTGGCACTTGTTTATAATTCTGTTTCTTTAAAAATTGCAACTCACTGACTGGCCTGATTGAATTATTTTTTTTTTATAAAGTGATTCTGTTTTATTTCTAGGTGTGTTTCAAAGCTTGCAGAAAAGTTTTACCATTGACAGCCAAGATGTTGATGCAGCCATAAATAATATCTGTGAAGAGGCCCTACCCTTAGAGAGTAACATGACAACATTTCTACATGCATCATGTTGTCACTTCCAGCACCTCGTAAATGAGGCCCGAAAAGATCAGGAGAGACTTAATGATCAAAGTTCTGCAGTGATAGACGATGTTAAACCTCACTCTGTCAGGTTTATGGATATACTTGATGATACTGATGGGTTGGTACTCTTACAAATTGACATTATCACCGTGTAACTTTTATATTTATTTTAAGATAATTCTTAACTTGGAACTGTTATATCACATAAAAAGTTTTATTTTGAGGAATATTTTATTAGATGTATCTTTGGCACACTATCCTTATTTATCTGTAATGGATGATTTGAATTGATCTCTGATGAATCTGTCTTAAAGTAACATAATGGCATGTTTAGGTGCAAGTTGCAGTATTACTATGTACTGTTCTAATGAGTATAATGGAATGAGTATACATGAACATTTGTAAATACCATTTTATATTTGGTCAACACAACTTGCTTTTAGCTTGTGTGTGGTTGTTCTTTATTCTTGGTTTGATCCTTGGCCGAGAGGTAATATTTTGGTGACAATGGATCTTGGACATTGTGTCTTACGGTCATTTTGGATAAATAGTTGTCACTTGCCCATCCCAGAGGTCATATGTTTTCCAATTATACTTAAAAAAATCATCATCTGAAACTGCAAAGGCAAGAGCATAGTTTTTAGCTCGACTATTCGATAAGAATAAGTAGAGCTATTGCAGTCACCCGAGCGTCGGCGTCGGCGTAACCACTTATGTTAAAGTTTTTGTAATAGTTCAAATATTTTTTAAGTCCATTGACATATGGCTTTGAAACTTTGCACACTTGTTCACCATCATGACCCCAACCTGTAGACAGGAGGAGGTAACTCTATCAAGCATTTTGACAGAATTATGCCCCTTTTTCGACTTAGAATTTACGTTAAAGTTTTTGTAATAGTTCAAATATTTTCAAAGTCCATTGACATATGGCTTTGAAACTTTGCACACTTGTTCACCATCATGACCCCAACCTGTAGACAGGAGGAGGTAACTCTATCAAGCATTTTGACAGAATTATGCCCCTTTTTCGACTTAGAATTTACGTTAAAGTTTTTGTAATAGTTCAAATATTTTCAAAGTCCATTGACATATGGCTTTGAAACTTTGCACACTTGTTCACCATCATGACCCCAACCTGTAGACAGGAGGAGGTAACTCTATCAAGCATTTTGACAGAATTATGCCCCTTTTTTGACATAGAATTTACGTTAAAGTTTTTGTAATAGTTCAAATATTTTCAGTGTCCATTGACATATGGCTTTGAAACTTTGCACACTTGTTCACCATCATGACCCCAACCTGTAAACAGGAGGAGGTAACTGTATCAAGCATTTTTTTTACTATCAAGCACTAAGAATAGTCGAGCGTTGCTGTCCTACCGACAGCTCTTGTTTTACATGAAATATTGTCTTGTGGATATCTACCAAGGTTTTTAAATTATAGCCCTAGGGTTATACATATAGTTGGTCATTACATGTATACTATTGCTGTGGCATTGCATTTCACTGATTCAGTCTTGCATTATATTGCCTTAAAATCGTGATAATGAAATAGATATTTATTTTTACAGAGATGCACAAAGTGATCAAATGAAAATACCATCAGTACTTGAGTTACCTAAAGTGACGTTGACATTAGATCTATCATTACTTCACCTAGAGCTACCTTGTGAGCCATTAAAAGACCTTCACCAGCTGATCAAGGACAAATTCCTTGATACTGTACAGAAATGGTTCCGACAGGTTCCATCTAGTCGTGACTACTATTTCTATTGTCCAGAAGCTGCTCAGGTTTGTAATGACCTACATGTATATCTGTTGTAAAAATATATATTCATTTCTGCTCCATGACACTATAGGTACTGACACCTCTGAAGAAATTTAAAAATCTTTTATGTTTTTGCTATAATTTGTTAAATTACTTTACTCACAGTATTAGATACTGAAGATCTTTAGACAAACATATATTTATCTGCATTTTGCATTCTGTATTTGTTGTTTTTATATAAGAATCTGGCAACTTTTCTGACAATTTCATTTGGCTGTAGGACAACATAAGGCATGCTTACTTGAATGCTTTCCCATAATGCTCTCCTTGCTGAGATAACTGGAATAGTTATACAATGACCTAGTTATAAACTCAGTTGTATAATTATTCTAAAACTCCTTCTAACTTACAAAATTTCAATCAGAACTATAAAACAAATCAAATCTTTGTGTATGTTCTCCATAAAGCTACATATATATTTAACCAAGTACATTATGTACTTTATCTTTAATTCATAAGGATGCTAATTTTCTGTTGATATCTACACATTTGGGTAAATCATATTTGTGGTTAATCATCTATTAAACCAAGATAAATGAGAACAATAATTTTAAATCACTAGTCACAGGCATGGCTTGAGGAAAGAAACTACATATTACAATGTTATTGAGACATTATATATCGTCGGTGGGCTTCGAAAAGGCCTTATCTGCAAAAGTGCTACTTTTCAGGAGATGGAAAAAACCGTTTAGTTTTGGCATGGAAACACATACAGAAATGAAATTAACAGATAAAAATGAACATTTAAATTCATTTTAAATACATTTAATTTGGTTATGATAAACCCTACTGTTTCATAATAAATACCCATACGTCCTTTTCACATGGCAAAAATAGCCAAATAGGGGTCTCAAATGGCCTTATAAGGCCCTTTCGCACACGTTAACATACTCTTGTTAGGTTCATAATGGCATTAAGAGACACATTACCAGTACTATTCATCAATGTTCCTATAGAAATTCAAGAATTTTGGGAATAAAGTGTTATTATGTTTTAATACGACAAGAAATATTAAAAATGAAACAAAAAACTACAAACATTCCGAAACATAAAACCTTTTAATATGTAGTCAATTTGGCTTCACCAATAAAAGTATACTGCCCAAACAACCAATATTACCTTTTCTATTATTTACCATACAGATAAAAAAAACATCAATCCTAATACCAAGTTCTTAAGTTCTAAGAGCTTCATGCCTTCAGATAAGCAAAACATTTTAAAAAAATGTAAAACGATTTGAAGGAAAGTATAATGATTTAAGTAAAAATTTACATTTTTTTGGTCGATTAATTACTGTTTTACATTTTTATTACAAAATTTTATTACATGACTAACACAGTAGGTGCTACCTTTTCATATTTTGTTCTCTATTTGATATGTAAAGTGCTGTTTGAACTTTGTTTCATTTTGTTGTTGTTAACTTCACAGTATTTTAACATTTCAAAAACATTTCAAAATTTTAGTGAAAATAACCATGAATCTGGATATATACTGTCAATTAAAAACAAAACATTTCGTAAAATAAGCATTTAGCATTTTTCTCATCATAACTCTCTATATAATAAACAGTCATGTTATTAATATGCTGCTACATGACATACAAAAAAGTATTAAGCAAACACTAGAAGTGTCACATCAAAAGCACCAAGTCATATTGTTCTAACAAGTATTTCCCTGTCTAATGGTTTCATACGATATCGTAAAGTTCTTCAAGAAATCATGCCTATTGTTATTTAACCTCATATAGGTAACTCGGGCGAGCAGTTTTAAAACATTGAGCATCCGTGGCCGTTGTTTTCAAAGCACTTTCCCTCACCACTATGGGTTCGAATCCTGACAGAGACTTTGGATTATTTCATGTGAGGAAGCTATCCAGATAGCTTAAGGAACGTCTGTGGTTCTATTTAGGTACCCGTTCGTGCCTGAAATAATGAACGGAATGGCAACTGAAGTCTTCTTCAATCAGTAAAGCTGGGACGTCACCATATATGACCTATACTGTGTCGGTGTGACATAAAACCCAATCAAACAAACATAGTTAACAAGAGAATATATAAGTGTGATTTTAAGTTTTCGTTCAATTTGACTATAAACTACGCCCACCTCAATCTGAGCCTGGCCTTATTGTATAAGCTTCTGTGTTATATTTGCAAGTCTTTACTAAGAATTTCTAAGTGTCACTTTTTGGTATTGGTAGCAACACCTGTAAATCTATATCACTATTTCTTTTACTTTATTGTCTTCAGTCAAGATGTTCTCTAAGAATTTTTTTAAAGAAAACCATGATACTTTTTGCATTGTTCACATAATGTTCCGGTTTCTCTATTTCAAATGAGTTTACAGTAGATTGACGACCTTGGCCATTTACTGGACTTTGAAAGAAGAAATAGTGTAGTCAAATGTCCTTCTCTGTCGCATTTAGACTGAAGTCAAACAGACACGTAAGATAAAACCGCAAGCCCTTTCCCTACGGTTTGAGCCACACGAGATCACTGAAGTCTTTCAAAAATAGGATTTCTGGCAGAAGTTGTTCTCATCTTTTGTAAATAGATTACATATTATTGTCATCACTTTGCAGTTGTTACGAATCAAATAGTCCAATAATTGAAAATATTGAACATTTATCAAGATAGTGGTCATCAGACACCTGTAATAACGTAAAATGGTATAGAAAACAATTTAATGATTATAAAATGAACGTAGCAACCATCTTACATAACATCCAAGTTAAGTCTGATGATTATCAGTATGTGCCTGGTCTTTAAATAACTCTTAATTATAATCTTAATGAGAATCCTTACAAAATAAATAATTGCAAATCTGTGTGGTATTAAGACAATTAAATAATTATTTATTTATTTATTTATTTATTTATTTCAATTTACAAGTAGTTGCATATTTATTTATGTAAATATTACCTTTTTAAAGAACACTATATGTTATTTCTCCGAGAAAATAAATGTCTACCAGTCTTGGGTGTGATTGTAATCTTTAAACTTGCTGAAAATATAAATAAAAGTGATGTATGAAAATAGGGAACATAAATATTGTCTTACAAAATATATAAGAAAATGCCTTATAAGACAAACCTTACCAAAAAATTAGCATGCGAAAATGCCCTATTACTTATAAAAGTTATTTTAACAGCTTTAATGTAGCTCAGATTTATCAGTTTGATACAGTTTGGTGTAAAGAATGAAACTAAAATCTAAAGTTTAATAAAAACAAGTTAAAAATAGTTTTCTTAGCATAAAATTTAACCTAGCCGACAAGCGTTGTATGTGAAATCCCCATTGTCCAATGTATTGATGATTTTATTTATCATATAACTACATACTATACGAAACACATCATTATTTCCACTGTCAAAAAGAAAAAGCATACCTGATCTTTGAAACTTTCATAAGAAAATCCGAGTTTTCTCCGTTTTTACTTTCTAATTTCACTCCTAAAAATTATCGGGCATTTTCGCGGAACAAATTTTTCATCCAAAAATTATACGTCTTTTTCTCACATGGCAATAAATTCACTTTCCGATTGGCTATCTAAACGGGTGTTTTCGCACAATGCGCGCCTCGGTTTGTTTGTCAAGAAAATGACCTAAAACGATTTTCGCAAAAATTGAGATAGGGCCTTTTCGAAGCCCACCGACGATATACATGTATATGTGTCATTATTTCAGAGTGAAGGAGAATTGTCAGATGAAAGGGAGACAACTACGTCAGAAGCTGTTCATGGTAACATTGTTTTATTCATTGCTGAACTTGTTGAGTGTATACTTCATAATGCAGAAAGGTTAAAATAATGCAGGCATTGTACAAAAGTAACACACCAATTGTACATATCTATCATGCATTATCGGATACACACTATGTACATGTCCACTTTACTTTTCCGAGGGCTTTTCTAAATAAGCATGTTTGTGCTCTCATTGTTTTTCTTTCAAGTACAAGGGTTACAATAATCTTAATGTTTCATGTTTAAGTAGATTAATGTAAATAAAGTACATGCAGTTCATTTGAATTCTAAGTTTGGTTTCACATGTATAAATCTAAACACATGTAAGTAAGAAACTGAAAAAAAAAAAAAATATGATCTCAAATATTTAGAATATCTTTTTGACAAAACTGTAATGCTCTTGTGTGCATAGGAGCAGCGGTTGGCACAATGCCAGAATCTGATGGTAACATGGCAATGGACAGACTCAGTCTGGCCATGAGAAGTGACAGGATCTCTAACACCTCTGTACTAGATTCCGAGGAGTCTATGGAAGATGATGCCATCCTTGACCTTGACATTACCCAGGATGATCGAAGTGACCAGTCTCCATTGTTTATAAACTTTACATGTACAGTGAAAAGTCGTCTGCAACAGTACAGTTTGTCACTGCGTAACATTGCTGTTTGTATTGGTATGTTGTTTATTCAGTTATGAACATGTATATTCCATTTGACTGATTTATTATGCTTTTCCTTTAAAGTGTACAAAGCTGTATATCGTCACCTTAGTGCAGTAACAGGTAAATTCCTTTAAATTTGATAGAAGTTAGCCAGTTATTGCACTAAGGTGACAATATATGCTGTCTGGATAGTAAAAGTATTGTTAATGTTGTGATTAAAATGATTACAGAATACCTGAAATGCAAGAAATTTGTTGGTATATTTAATTAAAAGCTCATGGGACTTGCATGAAATCATCATTCCTTTTGTAGGAGAACTTTCAACAATACTGGAAAAGTTTTCTGAGGTTGAGCTCAGTGACCTCAAGATAACCTTTGATCTTAATTGTTTGACCTTGCCCTGTGACCTTGAAGTAGCATCACCAAAGAAACCGTCAATGTTAAGAATGTTATCAAACACTAGCGCAACATTCGGGTCATCGTCAGGCTCAGAAGTTGAAGACAGGGGAAGTGAATCTATGATGTAAGTTAAACAGTTGTCTTAACAGCTTTGAACTTTAATACACTGGACTTTATTATATAGAAATGTATATGTATGTTTTTCATATGTCTGTTTTGAACTTTTCTTGTTTTCAGTCATATATTTTCAAGTTAGAGAATGAATTTATATAATTGTTTTTGTCTGAAAATTACAGTGATATGAATCATTTGAAGGACCCAATAAATCATCTACCACAGAGACAACATGATGCTGTCACCAAATGTATGGAGGAGGTATAAATACTTCTGTCATGTTATATAGTTATGATTTATTTGTACATCATAGTATATTTATGTTTAACTAAGATTTGTTTTCTTTTCATAGATTGATTGCCAGTCTTAAAGTTTTATTTCGGTTTGGTCCCAAAATTTATTATGCCCCCCCCCCTTCAAAGAAGAGGGGGTATATTGTTTTGCTAATGTCGGTCTGTCTGTCGGTCTGTCCGTCGGTAGACCACATGGTTTCCGCTGATTATCTTGAAAAGTATTTATCACAAAGTCTTCATATTTCACATAGTGATTGGTCATAACTAGTAGATGACCCCTATTGATTTTGGGGTCACTAGGTCAAAGGTCAAGGTCACATGGGCCTTAAATGTCAAAATGGTTTCCGCTGATTATCTTGAAAAGTATTCATCACAAAGTCTTCATATTTCACATAGTGATTGGTCATAACTAGTAGATGACCCCTATTGATTTTGGGGTCACTAGGTCAAAGGTCAAGGTCACAGGGGCCTTGAATGTCAAAATGGTTTCCGCTGATTATCTTGAAAAGTATTCATCACAAAGTCTTCATATTTCACATAGTGATTGGTCATAACTAGTAGATGACCCCTATTGATTTTGGGGTCACTAGGTCAAAGGTCAAGGTCACAGGGGCCTTAAATGTCAAAATGGTTTCCGCTGATTATCTTGAAAAGTATTCATCACAAAGTCTTCATATTTCACATAGTGATTGGTCATAACTAGTAGATGACCCCTATTGATTTTGGGGTCACTAGGTCAAAGGTCAAGGTCACAGGGGCCTTAAATGTCAAAAGGGTTTCCGCTGATTATCTTGAAAAGTATTCATCACAAAGTCTTCATATTTCACCTAGTTATTGGTCATAAGTAGTAGATGACCTCTATTGATTTAGGGGTCATTAGGTCAAAGGTAAATGTCACATGGGCCTTAAATGTCAAAATGGTTTCCGTTGATTTTTCCATAATTGAACACTTCCATGTACCCATTTTTGGCAAGTTTCTGTAATAAAATTACCAATTATGTGAGTCAATGGCTAGAAAGGGGGGGGGGGGTATATGTGTCGTTCGACATTCTTGTTTCTATTCAGTCCCAAAGTTTTATTTCTATTCAGTCTCAAAGTTTTATTTCTATTCAGTCTCAAAGTTTTATTTCTATTCAGTCTCAAAGTTTTATTTATATTCAGTCTCAAAGTTTTATTTCTATTCAGTCCCAAAGTTTTATTTCTAATTTCTATTCAGTCTCAAAGTTTTATTTCTATTCAGCCCTAAAGTTTTATTTCTATTCAGTCTCAAAGTTTTATTTCTATTCAGTCTCAAAGTTTAATTTCTTTTCAGTCTCAAAGTTTAATTTCTATTCAGCAACAAAGTTTTATTTCTATTCAGTCTCAAAGTTTTATTTCTATTCAGTCTCAAAGTTTTATTTATATTCAGTCCCAAAGTTTTATTTCTATTCAGTCTTAAAGTTTTATTTCTATTCAGTCTCAAAGTTTTATTTCTATTCAGTCTCAAAGCTTTATTTCTATTCAGCAACAAAGTTTTATTTCTATTCAGTCTCAAAATTTTAGTTCTATTCAGCAACAAAGTTTTATATCTATTTAGTCCCAATGTTTTATTTCTTTTCAGTCCCAAAGTTCTATATCTATTCAGTCCTAAGGTTTTATTTCTATTCAGCAACAAAGTTTTATTTCTATTCAGTCCTAAGGTTTTATTTTATATATTCAGGCCCAAGGTTTTAATTATATTCAGTCGATTGTTCTGAAATTTAATTTCTATTGATAGATTGATAATCAGTACAAAAGTTTCATTTCTGTTTATAGTTTAAGTCAACAATGTAAAGTTTGATTTCTATTCATAGATTGAGTGGCTGTTACATGATGAGATTGTATCAAATTTGAGACACATATCGCCTATCACAACTGATGCCCTTAACTTTGTTGCCAAACATATACAGTGTACTAGTGGATTAGGCAAGGCTAATGTCAGTGTAGAAACTGTACCTTTACAGTTTGTGTTTGGATCAGAACAAAGCAATGAAAAATTTACAGAGGTATCTTCACAAAATATTGAGCTGTTTGTTGTTCTATCATTTACCTATATGGTCGAAGAATGATGGTCAGATTTGTCAGTACATGAGTAAGTCAGCTTGGCCTAGTAGAAACTTTGCATGGGTCAGCTCAGCCAATTTATATACTTCTTGTTTTAGTATTGGTAACTCATCATTTTTTATTTCATTGACTATTTTATTGACTACATATTCATACTAAATAGAGCCTTATAATGTTTACCAAAATGACTTCCATGGTGTACAAAAATAAGTACTAATATATAAGAATATGTTTATTGGTAAAGAATTTCTAGGTTATGCTTATATAATTTGAACTTAAGTAAAGGTTATAGAAGATTTTTAAGAATAACAAGAAGAAAAGATTTTTTATTCATATACTTGAATTTGATATATTTATCAAAAACTTAAATGTTTTTCAATATTGTGCCATGTTGATATATTTTGAGTTGACCTATACCAAGTTGACCTTTGCCAAGATGACCTTTGCCACCTTTGCCTGGTAGACCCAATTGCAGGTTGACCAATCAGCAATGGCAGGTTGACCAATGTTGAGTTGGCATTATTACTACTGTGTTTATACTTTACCAGGCAGAAGATACATACTATTGATCTAGTAAAAATAATTTGTTATAAAGGGGTTTTAATCAAACAACAGTGTTTTCAATCTGATATTTTCATCTGTTGAAATTATAAAAAATGATTTAATAGAAGAAACAAGGATCTTATAGATTAAATAGATACTAGATAGTCTGTTCATAGAGGCAACAAAATATTATAGAATATCTACATGGTATTATATACTGTAAACAATAAGCTCAATGTGGAAAAAGGTACTTTTTCAATAATCATTTTAACTTAATGTATTCCATTGTTTTAAAGAAGAATTTTAATTGATTGATATTTTATACTAATTAGGAATTCCAAAAGATGTCATTCAAGAATTACCAGTTAAACAAAGAGGATGAGTGGTACTATTTGTCCAAGAAGCGTATTAATGCTTTCACCTATGTTAATGCATCAGTACTTAGTTCTGCTCTTGTAGAATTAAGTCAGTGGAGTGGAAAACAAGGCTCCTCTACTAAAGTTTGCTCTCCAAGCTCTGTGTCGGAACTTACTGACACAAAATCAGCTAAAAATCTGTCCCCTCTCAGTGTTAATGCTAAAGAGAAAAGTTTTGATATTGGTGGAGAACATGTAGGCTGTTCTAGTCCTTTGACAGTAAAATCTGATGGATACATTGCATCAGAAGTAAAAAGACACAGTCTAGAGTCTAATCTAAGTTTAGAGAAGAGAACATCAACAGAAGGTCTCAACTTGGAAAATGTTAGTTTAATTAACAGACGGAAAAGTAAGGAGTTAGTGTTGAAAATGATACAAAGTAGCAAGGATAATATGTCAGATAGGGAGAAAACACAAGTTAGTTGTGAACAGGCCGGAAAAGTGGAGGAGAAAGCAGATTCCTCTGCTGCAGATAGTTTGACTAACCTTAAACAAGACACTGAAACTCAACAAAAGAGTGATGGCTCTAAAATTGCTGATGAGAGCTCACAGAATCCTAGTAATCTTTTACAAACGGAAGGAAAATCAGTTGTTTCTCCAACTTCATCATCAGTGTTTGATTCACCTACTACAGGAAGTATTTCATTTTCTGTGTCTGGGACAGGAAGTCATGTGACCTCTGCTGTCCAATCACCTGTTATATCTGATATTTCTATACAGCTGACAAAGACCGATGGTCGTTGTGAACCATTCAGAACGTCTCCAGAAAGAACTTGTGCCATGGAAAACATGTTAGATGATGAATTTGACAGAACAGATTTGGAGAATGAAGCTGTGTTAAAAAGGTGCTCTAGTTTTGCTGGTTTCAGATCACAAGAACCATGTGTTCCCACAAAACAGGACTCTGAGATCGAATCTCAGGGTCCTTCGCCAATGAAAGCTCAACAACACTCTCTCATTGGACCTCAGGGACGGGCTCGTCACTGCTCGGCCCCTGTATCAGGTCAGGGAACACCTAGGAGTAAAGTATCAGCGTTACCATATACCCCATCTTGTATATCATCAAGGGGCTCATTTACAGAAGATGGTGCATGTAAGTATAGCTGTATCTACGCAAAATCTTTCATTCTTTTAAATATTCCAATGTTATTTCTTTAAAAGCTTATTTCTTCTTCTTATACACCTGTTGTTAAAAAAATATGGGACGAACAATGAGATCACCCATTGCTTCATCCAGGCAGTTCTCAGTTTTTATCAAGAGCATAATTATGTTCTTAATATATGTACAGAGAAATAGGTAACTACTGGTTAGTCTTCCAGGAAAGCTAGTAAGATTGATCAACAATTGAGATATGAGTGTTAAAGCCAAATAACTTAAGTGCAGTACCTAAGAACTATAACTTCTCTTTTTATTTTTGAGTTACTGCCATAGTAAGTTTGGGCTAAATTTTTGACTCGCTAAGACAGTGGAAATTTTTGTGTGTGTTCTTCCTCTAAATTAGTATTTTATTGCAAATTGACTTTCTTAGTGTAAGTAAAACAGTAAATTTGTCAGCATATAACTGTTAACATACTTGTAACTTTCTTTGTTTTACCTATCATTTTATTATGTTTATTACACTTTCTACAATACTAGTTAAATGTTTCACTATATATGAGCCGCATCACGACAAAACCAACGTAATGCCTTTGTGACCAGCATGGATCCAGACCAGCCTGCGCATCCGCGCATTCTGATCAGGATCCATGCTGTTTGCTATCAGTTTCTCTACTTGTAATAGTGTTTGTAAGCGAACAGCATGGATCCTAATCAGACTGCGCGGATGCGCAGGCTGGTCTGGATCCATGCTGGTCGCAAATGAACTATGTTGGTTTTGTCGTGACGCGGCTCATATGTATTATGTTGTGTAGCATATGATGGAGATATGAGTGAGATGGACGACAGTGCCACCATGTTCAGTGAGAGCGGGGTCATCACACGTCTTATGCCCAACTTCTGGCTCATTATGCATATAAACTTTAATGCTGTAGATATCAACAACATTGAAATGAACACTGTTGATATACTCTTCCAACACAGGTTACTCTTTATATTCATTTATTAATAATCTTTTTTCTGATAAAGAAGAATCTAATCTCTTTAAATTTGTAAAACAGAAATTTTGCAGTATTTTTTTTCTATTTTCTGTCATGTGTACTAAAAAGCACTTTAGGATAAAACTAATAAATGAAAATTGGGAGCAGTTGCCCATCGGTTAAGGTGTCTGCCTCTCAACCAGAGATCATGGGTTCGAGTCTGAATTGGGTTATGACCATCTTTCTTCATATGACACCAGGACTAGTTGGTTTCAGGATGATTAATATAAGTTGCAACAATTTTTTTCGCAATTGAGCTTAATATGTTTAAGCCAATAAATGAAAAACCTGTCATCACAAGTCACTCTTGTAATGTCTGGTTTGAATTATTGCCATTCAAATTTTCTAATCTTCAATGACAATTATTCAACAAAGATCTCCTTTCAAAACTTATCTGAAGAGTGGTGTTTGGATACGGGTTTGGCTGTATTAAAGTTGAAAATCATTCTTAAAAAATTGTGAAGATTTTTAGCTCGACTATTTGCAGAATAATCGAGCTAATGCAGTCACCCATTTGTCGGCGTCCCTGTGGTTAAGTTTTTGCATGTTAGCTGGTATCTCCATAACTACTGAAGGGAATGGATTGAAACTTCACACACTTGTTCCCTGTGATTATCTAAGATGTTTGGCACAAGTCCAATAACTCTGATTTGATTTTTTACATAATTATGCCCCTTTTTCGACTTAGAAATTCTTGGTTAAGTTTTTGCGTGTAAGCTGGTATCTCCATAACTACTGAAGGGAATGGATTGAAACTTCACACACTTGTTCCCTGAGATTATCTAAGATGATTGGCACAAGTCCCATAACTCTGATTTGCTTTTTTGCATAATTATGCCCCTTTTTCAACTTAGAAATTCTTGGTTAAGTTTTTGCGTTTAAGCTGGTATCTCCATAACTACTGAAGGGAATGGATTGAAACTTCACAAACTTGTTCCCTGTGATTATCTAAGATGATTGGCACAAGTCCCATAACTCTGATTTGCTTTTTACATAATTATGCCCCTTTTTCGACTTAGAAATTCTTGGTTAAGTTTTTGCGTGTAAGCTGGTATCTCCATAACTACTGAAGGGAATGGATTGAAACTTCACACACTTGTTCCCTGTGATTATCTAAGATGATTGGCACAAGTCCCATAACTCTGATTTGCTTTTTTGCATAATTATGCCCCTTTTTTGACTTAGAAATTCTAGGTAAATTTTTGCTTGTTAGACGGTATCTCCATAACTACTGAAGGGTTTGTACCTTTTCGGACAATTTTATGTATTCATATAGGTAAGCATTATTATACTCAATGAAACACCCTTGTGACAACTTTTCGAATAGTCGAGCGTTACTGTCCTCCGACAGTTCTTGTTGCATATGTAATTCTTACTAGATTTTTGAATATATACAAATTTATGTATTATGTTTTAGTTTCCTCCTTGTATATTTTATGTATTATGTTTTAGGTGTCAGGTTTATATACTTAAACATCTGAAATTTTAACATAATAAACTGTACTGTGAATTACAGGGAGACAGGTAAAGAAACTAATGAAGAGACATTGGAGTTACGGAATCTTCTAACACAAGTAAAGACTAACGTAGAAACAACTTGTCGCAGAGTTAATCAGGTAGGTCTCTGATATATATGTATATTTCATTATTCCTAATGTTTGTTGCTCACAAAATCTTTTTATCCTTACAGTTATTGTTTCTTTATTCCTTAAAGCAAAAAAGAAAGTGAGTTAATTCTAAAGTTAGAGAGTGGTAGAAAGAAAATACGAAACTCATTGTTTGCTGCAAGTTTATTCATACGTGTCATCAAATGGAAAGTTGTCTGTCATCTCACTTATAAATTGTTGTCATAGCAACTTCATTAACCGTTTAAATGGGTTTCAAGGCCAAATATCAATGAGGCTGAAAGTAGATTAATTTACTTTACCTCATACCGCTATTATTTATTGAACAATTTCATAGGAATTTACCATATATGCAGCTCTCTTGGTTGAACTCAAGTCCTGGGAGTCATAACATGTTACAGGTTAAATGTTTCATGGTCACTTACATTCCTTTATTCATCAATTGATAAGATATTTGATTTTAATGTTTCTTCAGATATTTGGTTTGTAGATTACTTTGATGGACTTCTTTCCTTGTTGATAATGTCAATGCTACTGAGACAAAAAAGTCATTTTTCTCCATCTTATAATTATACAATGTTTAATAGCTGTTTGAGATCATTGTCAGGGAACATGAATCTGAAAATAGATGATGATGATGACACATTTGTGAGGAATCATTATATGACACTGATTTTCTTTTTATTTGTCTACTTATAACAGAGTCAGTAGTTTCATTCTACAGTTCTTGTGTGATTTGTTGTTATTCTACCTGTATAGCAACTATGATGATTACACATTTGCTAGCAATCATATGTCTTTGATATCATTTAATTTGTATACTTTTTAGCTCGACTATTCGATAAGAATAAGTAGAGCTATTGTAGTCACCCGAGCGTCGGCGTCGGCGTAACCACTTATGTTAAAGTTTTTGTAATAGTTCAAATATTTTCAAAGTCCATTGACATATGGCTTTGAAACTTTGCACACTTGTTCACCATCATGACCCCAACCTGTAGACAGGAGGAGGTAACTCTATCAAGCATTTTGACAGAATTATGCCCCTTTTTCGACTTAGAATTTACGTTAAAGTTTTTGTAATAGTTCAAATATTTTCAAAGTCCATTGACATATGGCTTTGAAACTTTGCCCACTTGTTCACCATCATGACCCTAACCTGTAGACAGGAGGAGGTAACTCTATCAAGCATTTTGACAGAATTATGCCCCTTTTTCGACTTAGAATTTACTTTAAAGTTTTTGTAATAGTTCAAATATTTTCAAAGTCCATTGACATATGGCTTTGAAACTTTGCACACTTGTTCACCATCATGACCCCAACCTGTAGACAGGAGGAGGTAACTGTATCAAGCATTTTTTTTTTACTATCAAGCACTAAGAATAGTCGAGCGTTGCTGTCCTACCGACAGCTCTTGTTATCATTCTACAATCATTTATTCTATGTTATAATATAGCAACTGTTGTTGAATGACCTGTATGAGACTCGTATGTGTCATAATCTACTGGTGGATGCTGCCGAGGAGGAAGTCTCCTGGAAACTTGATAGTGATAACAGGATCAAACCTATACACCCCAATAATCCCAGCAGTAAGTCACATATTATTATCATGACAATGTTTTACCAATACTTGCTGAAATCTGTCTGAAGAGTAAGTGCTAGTTATATAGAAATTCTTTGCAAAAAAGCAAGCATACAAACAGATATGTTGTAGAAGTTTATTTCTAAGTTTGTTTTCACAGTTTCCTTTAAAGATACATACAAGTTTATGTAGAATTATCAATATAAAATTGAGCAGAATATTCTTTCTAACATTGTGCTTTGAAAAGATATCGTTTGAAGCAAGTACACTTACAACATGGCATGGCATAAGTGAATGAACACTTATATTTCCTGTTTTATTGAAGGCTCTGAGAATGATGATGACGATGATGATGATACATTTGAGAGGAAGTACCTCCATGCTGCCATGAACCTTGACCCTGGATATTTTGATTGTAAATTAGTTTGGCAAACAAAGCTGAACATTCACCCTGGTCTTAAAAGAGGATCTGGTAGGGGCTCCACCATGTCATTAGGTGAGTTTGAGCTTGTTAATACCAATGATTAGTGAGATGTGTGGTTATATTGCTATATGTAAGAAATATGATTAAGGGACCTAAGACCAAGGTATATATTGCACTTCTTTTCTTTTTTGGGAAATTAACTGTTTTTCTCTTGGTTTATATTTTGTTTAACCTTACAAAGAAAAAAAGTCAAGTAGCACCAGTTTTGAAGTTGTTTTTTTTTTCAATGTTCGTCATAAAATGTAAAATTGTTAAGATGAGTCATTCTTACAAATTATATCATGGATTTTGTTTGTATGTAATATCCTTTCATGGAACTCTCAAAACTTGTTAAATCTGAGCAAATGGATGAGGTTGTCTTTCCTGTTTATATTTATTGTATTGAAGACATTGCTGAAAAACCTACTGGTACTTGTGAACAATATAAATCACCAGAATTTAAATAATGTACATACTGATAGATTAGTGCCATATTTAAGATAATTAATATGTGTCAAATTTTACTTCTTTGTTTACAATTATATTAAGTGTTATTTCAGGGATTGTGTATAATTACATTTATATAAACTATTATTTCAGGGATGATATATAATTACAATTATTTAAACTATTATATCATGAATGATTTCTGTTTACAATTCTATGAACTATTATTTCAGGGATGATGTATAATTACAATTCTATGAACTATTATTTCAGGGATGATGTATAATTACAATTATATGAACTATTATTTCAGGGATGATGTATAATTACAATTATATGAACTATTATTTCAGGGATGATGTATAATTACAATTATATGAACTATTATTTCAGGGATGATATATAATTACAATTATATGAACTATTATTTCAGGGATGATGTATAATTACAATTATATGAACTATTATTTCAGGGATGATGTATAATTACAATTCTATGAACTATTATTTCAGGGATGATGTATAATTACAATTCTATGAACTATTATTTCAGGGATGATGTATAATTACAATTATATGAACTATTATTTCAGGGATGATGTATAATTACAATTATATGAACTATTATTTCAGGGATGAAGGCTTTGAGGTCACAGTTGAACCCATTATCAGTCAACAACAGAAACAACATGTTTGTCATCAAGGAAACAACAACGGAAAATGTTTTTTATCTCAGGTTTGTTTATTAATGTTTCAGAATACTCAAATAAAGAATTTGAAAACTTTCTCAGAAGTTATCCTATTTAACTTTGAATTGTTGGTCAATATTTCTGTAATTTTGCTATGACATTTTATGATTTAAAATTATAAGGCTAAAATATGAAATTTCGTAAAGAAAATCACAGATTAATTGAATTGATACTTTGAACTGAAAAAAACTCAATTTTTCTACATAAATCAAACGAATCTGCTATAGCTTACATAATGAATTCAATCAAGAAGTCATCATGAGTATATTCTATATCTTTATTGCTTTTTTATTGAGCTGTTTTAGAGTATTAATAAGAAATGTTTTTGTAACTTCAGATTAAAGGAGGTACAATCAAGCAGTGCTAGATCAACTGTAGTGTTAGATGATAGTTCAGGTACTTGTATTTAACTGATCTAATTGTTTTTGTGTTTCACAGGGAAATAGTATGATATCACAAAAAAAAAACCCAACGAAAAAAGCAACAAAAAAACAAAACAAAAAAAAAGTTTGTCATCATGATATACACACAAAAAATACTTAAAGTTATCCTTTTAGATAAGTCTGCTTTTCATAGTGAATGGATATATCTTGAAATACATGTTTTTTTATACAATATTGTTCAATATTTGTTATACAACTAAAAAATTTATAAACACATTGATATAAAAAATTATTTGACATAAACCTTCCCTTTCTCTTTCCCAACAAACCAGTCATAGGGTAAATTTGCTGGCTTAGAAAGTTTAAGGTGTCCTGCCCATTCAACTATGGAATGTGTTTTTTAACCCCCTATTTAAAGGGGGCTTAGCCTTTTTTTTTTAATTTTGACCCCCAGAAATGGTTAGTTAAAGGAAGCTAAGTCAATTTTGGGCATGCAAAGCTACATGTTTTTCTTAAAATTTTAACCCCAGAAAATAAATTTTCTAATCTTTAAAGAAAAAAGAATGAGAATTTGTTTTGATTTGTTATTTTTCTTTTTTGTTTTTGTTATTTTCCCAAATTTTTTGTTTTGTTATAACAGGATAAATAAATTGTGGGGCCCCCACCCCATAAACAAAAACAACTTTTCCCTTTTTTGGACCAGCATGGTTTGGGGACCCCAACCAGCCTGTGCATCCGCGCAGTCTGATCAGGATCCATGCTTTTCGCTATCAGTTTCTCTACTTGCTATAGGGTTTCTAAGCGAACAGCATGGATCCTGATCAGACTGCGCGGATGCGCAGGCTGGTCTGGATCCATGCTGGTCGCAAACCCATTATGATGGTTTTGTCATGACGCGGCTCAATTATTATGTTTGTTTTATATGAACAACAGATACCTTGACCATGTCTGGTGGTCTGAAACCTCATGAACAAGATCCTGATACTGTGTCCATGAGTTCGTCAAACAGTACATTGTCCCTGTCCCAGCTACAGAAAATAAGTCAACAAGACTGTGTTGAGCTCAGTGTACATGGCATTGATGATGCAGGTATGAATACATTAACATGTTTACATATTGTATTTTCATTAATATCACGAAAAAGTAGTTCCTCTTAAGTGACTGGGAATGATTTATAAAAATATTTTGTGAATCTAATGGTATAATCCCCACATGAGTAATGTTATGTCATTAAAAGAAATTACCACAACCTTTGTCTTAAACACTATCTGTTATCTAAAACTTGACTAAAAATATTTCTGTAAGATTTTTGTTTCATACGGTAAAAAACAGACATTTATACAGCAAGTCAGTGGTTCTACTAAGGTGCTATCTAGAGCTTGAAATGATGTTCAGACTGCACCTAAGGTGAAAGGTTGAAAATAATTATATAAACACTTATTTATGTTTAAAGTGAATTAAAAATTTGATATTGACTTCATCTCTGAGTGAGATATATTCAGTATTTAATCATATTTAACATGTCATGGTAGGCAAAGAGATTAAGGAAGATCTGATACAGATGTTACAGAACAAGTTAGATGAAGCCACACTGGAGAAACTGTGTGAGATGTTACGACGTAATCCCCAGTGTCAGCTGGATAACTTTGATGTACAGGTAAATAAATGTTACATTTGTATTAAAACAGGTGTACATACATTTGTAAAAAATAAGGTGGCACAATAGCTCAGTTGGTTAGATCACTAACTGTCACTCCTGAGGTTCCGGGTTCGATCCTGGGTAACACCCTTGGGATTTTTCAGAAACACTTTCAGTGTTTCCCACCTAACTAGAGGTTTACTGGTACAGAACCCAGGTAATCCTCGCATGTATCAGTGCTATACACTGGGCATGTAAAAGAACCACAGAATCTTTTCAATAAGAGCTAGGGACTTGTTCTCGGATTCCATTGTATCTCATAGCTGTCTGTAGAGTCTGCTGAGGTAAGGACCCTACTGGAAATAAGTGCTTGCACTTTCGTAGGTTATCCTTGACCGCCCGGTCTAAAGAAAATCAATCAATCAACAGTGTCCTCTACTTACTGAATATCAAAATTACAGTTGTGATTTTGATGTTTGCATGCATATTTCTTAAACTTGTTTTAAGAGAGCCTATTTAAACGATGTCGTTGTAATTATTACTGTTGTTGTTGTTATAATATATGATAATTTTCACAAGTTATACCATAATTATACATCCATCAAGACGCAATATATTGGCTTTAAATGTGATAAATTTATAGTTTCATTTAATATGATATCTAAATACGACATTAATAGAATTCTGATCAATATTGATTACTGGTAATTTATAAAATACTTATGCATTTAAAGAAAGAATGTGTATGTAACAAATAATGAGCCACATCATGACAAAACCAACTTAATGCATTTGCAACCAGCATGGATCCAGACCAGCCTGTGCATCCACACAGTCTGATCAGGATCCATGCTGTTTGCTTACAAAACCCTATAACAAGTAGAGAAACTGATAGCGAACAGCATGGATCCTGATCAGGCTGCACGGATGCGCATGCTGGTCTGGATCCAAGCTGGTCGCAAACGCACTATGTTGGTTTTGTCATGACGTGGCTCATTTTATCTTCTTTCCTTCAGTTCATACAAAAACCAGGTCAGGAACCAGCAGATATTTTACATTTGACAGTGTCAAATAAAGCCAGTCCCCAGCTTGCAGCTATAATGTATTATCTAAGACAGAATCTACTACAATTTTTACATCCACCAAAGTACAAATCTTCCTTGGCTGAACATCAGTTTATGGTATACATATTTACAGGAATTTTTCTTATTGTGCTACAAGATATTTAAGGAACAGATATTAATTTTTTGAGTTCTTTGTTGTAGAATAATGTACAGTTCAAGATCAAATGTACAGGAATGTAATCATGAAGACCAATTAACCATGCATTATTATACTGCAATGCAATATGAAAAATTAATATCTTCTTGCATTAATTAAGAAAATTGATAAAAAAAAAAATGTTTAACTACATTTAATCTAGAAGTAATTGTGTTTACAACATGTTTAACTACATTTAATCTAGAAGTAATTGTGTTTACGACATGTTTAACTACATTTAATCTAGAAGTAATTGTGTTTACAACATGTTTAACTACATTTAATCTAGAAGTAATTGTGTTTACAACATGTTTAACTACATTTAATCTAGAAGTAATTGTGTTTACGACATTTGGTTAATTGATGTCATATGATGTACAAGCATGTATTTTGCTATGCAGATATCGCTTAATAAGGCACTTGACTATCCTATCTGTTTGGTAGGGGAATATTGTAAAGTGTGTTAGAAATTTGAAATTAAATAAATTTTTCAACTGAGATGTTAAATAAGTATTTTAACTTTTTGAGTGTGAGCAGCATTTGTAATAACAATAGCACCAGGGTTCTATCATGTTGGTGGCTCAGTTTTGTTATTTTGATTTTGAAATCATTTCAGCAAACATTATTTTATGCTTTTCAGTGGATTACTGATTTATCCGTGAAAATTATATTTGATAATTTCACATTGAAAATTATCAAAATATAATTTCACACTTTTCAATGACGAAACTACTTTTTTAAGATTTTCCCCATGTGGTACCTCAATTTTTTTTTGCTGACAATTCTGACAATGTCAGGCTGCTTAAAGAAAAAGCAAAGCTGAAATTGATAAATAACTTAAATGTCAAAAGTAATAAAAAGAAGAAAACTTACTTCTATTCATTCAAATTCCAATCACCAAATTTCGTCTCTAAATTTTTTTGTTTCATTTTTACAGTCTGAAAAATACATTCCTTCCACATGCAAAACTGCTCTTGATGACATTTGGGCATATTAAAGTATCCTACGAGCAATAACTGCCGTATTCTTTATGAAAAATTGAAAAGCAATAACAGCCATCAGCTGGAAGAACAAGTAAACAACCCAGCGTTCCTGAGCCAGCTTCCAAGTTTTCCATTTTCCTAGCTGCTTTTTTGAATGTTTTCACATCTGTCAACACTTATTTTTTGTCTGTTACAACCCTCAAATATGTTTTCTTTCTTTTAAAAAGGTGTATGACTAACAAATCCAAATCACTTGCCCCTCACCGCTGTGGGTTCGAATCCCGACAGGGACTTTGGATTCTTTCATGTGAGGAAGCTATCCAGCTAGCTTACGGAACGTCGGTGGTTCTACTCAGGTGTCCGTTTGTGCCTGAAATAATGCACGGAAGGGCACCTGAGGTCTTCCTCCACCAGTAAAGCTGGAATGTCGCAATATGACCTATACTGTGTCGATGTGACGTAAAACCAAAAAAAACAAAAACAAACAAAAACAAATCCAAATGATATCCCTCTGAATCAAACACAATTATTTTCCTCCCGTGAAATACACAACTTTAAAAAATGGCTGCCACTTACATTTAACAAAGCCATGTCTAATATAAATTCACAGTAAGTAACAGAAATATGGATGGATGGTTGGACTTTTTATCCTACAAGAATTGTTTGTTTTTATTATTAAAACAAGCGATCATTCATGTAATTTTATTTCATCTCGTGAACTTTAAAAACAGTATTCTCACTCGTGGCTTCAAACAAACAAATATCCTCTATATATTAAGAATGTTATTATATTAACAACAGTACCTTGCTTATAGTTAGAAGGGTAAATGTAATATGTTAAGAACTACCCTCATGACAATTGAATACCTGAGATGTTGTGTTCATGGAATGTAGGCATACTATGATATTTATTACATTTTTTTTTTTCAGGATACTTTTGATGGAAAGTTATCTACCATACCCACAGACCAGGCATTCTTATATATACCACCACACACTGCAAGAAAAACTGGTACTGTTTTATTTTTTATAATTTTTGAGTTTTATGCATTGAGCTTCCCTTTCAGCCTTACCTAAATAAAAGCAAATTTTTCAGGTTTTTAAAAGGGAAAAGGGGGTTAATTTTTATATGGGAAAGTGCAACATGGGAAAAAAAAAAAAAAATCTTTTTTTCCCTTAAGTCTTAGAAAATTTTTGGGTAAACCAGGGGAGTGTTTGGGTGACTATTTAAAATATACATGTATTTTAATGTTTTTGTTCCAGGTATATCAGTAATCAGTTGGTTTTTGGTTTGAAAGGGTCAAGGAAACCCCGGTAAGGGTATTAAAAGTTTTTCCAAAACCCTCCATTTTTGGCCTTTCCTTGATATTGCCACAAAAAGGAACCCAGAAGGATTTTTTTGTTCTTCCCAAACTTTTTGAAAAAACCAAACAGTAAACGACCAGGTACAGTATTTATCATATATTTAATATCAGATAAAAATGTTTCAATCTTAACTTGCTAAAATTATGTAATGGATTTGCCCTGCTTTTAAGTTTAATGGATTCAAAAGAAGTCGAATCACTTTTAATTCCAGCAAGTTAAGGGTAAATAAATTTTTTGCCTTTTTCTATATTGTAGATGTGTCCTCAATTTTATAATCTTTTATTATGTTTTTTTAGAATCATTCAAATGCACATATCACTGTGCATGCTTGTACTTGTATAGTAGGTCAATAAAATTGGTCATGATTTATTGAAGATATGATAGAAATACTTGTTTTATTCAGGTCCAACAGCTTTGATACAGTTCCACATCTGGCAAGTTGGTGATGTAGATATCCCCGTGTTACAGGAGAAGCTGACTTTAGCATTGAAACATGCACTATGTGATGTTGTGATGGAATACCACATACTGACAGCTCCGTTATGTACGGTGCCAAAACATCTAGTGGATGTGCTCCCTCCCCCACCCACTTATTCTGCACCTACCTCACCTTTTCATAGCATGCTGCCAGGTAAATGTGTTGTATTACTGGGACCCTTTTAAAAGTTTCTGTAAACTTTGGAAAATTTTCCTTTAAACATTATTTAAAATTTTTTGTTAAACCTAATATAAAATTTAAGTGGTCACTTGTTTATTTTTGCCCCGTGGGAATTTAAATTTGTTGATTTCTACTAGACCAGGCCCGGCCTTACACCTTTTTGGGCCCTTTCCAAAAAATTTTTTATCAATTTTCCTTTAATTTTAACTTAAATTTACATCGAATCCTTGGGCATTTTAAAAAAGGGAAAAATTTTTCCCAAAGCAGAAAAAAGGTCAATAATTTAAAAAAATTTTCATAAAAAAATTTTCTAGTTTGTCTAAAAACTGCAATTATCATTTTGGAATATAATATCTGGGTTTGCTTCAAAAATAATGAAACACGTTGCTTGTAAAATTGTAATGTTGAAATGATATTAATATTTTATTGAAATTAAGTAAAAACAAACTGAAATGTTTAGAAATTTGCGTTAAAAAAAAACAACCTAGACAAACAAGAATTTGGAATACACAACTTTATAACATGTTAAAATTTGAATTTATTGTTTCTATGGAAATATTCATCTATAAATTGGTTGCTAAGGTAATGTTTTGTGTGAGTTTGTTACTAGATTAAAAAATCTTCCTGATTTACAGTACATAGCACACTTTGATTTTTTCACTTCTTTATATTAACTTTATCATGATGTTTGAAAGAATAATTTTATTTACTTTCCTGTATTAGATTAAGCAAGTTGATATCTTGTAAGTGTTCTCATATCATATATAGTCTATTCCACTTGTACACAAAATTTTCATTACATTACTGTTTAATATATGACTTACCATATCAAACTATTTGTCTTATTATCTCCCTTTAAACATACCTGAAAATTTCTTTATTCTGTTTTTGACTAACATGTTTCTTTTTCTTGAAATACCAAGTAACTTGTCTGGAACATGTTATCAACTATTTTTTTAAATATAAATAGAAATTACAGAAAAGTTATTCTTGTAGAAATATAAATGTCAGTTTAGCTCTCTATGTAGGTAAAGTGTTAGTGTATTTTGTTGAGAAGATATCTTTGTTGAATTTGAGTGAATGTTTAAGTTACTGTGTTTTTATTGTTAGCAGGTGATGCTACTGTATTAGAATGTAAGATGTTATTATTTTTATGTAGTTTAAACTGTTTATTTATAAAAACTTATTTATTTATTACTTTATAGTTATATTAACCCCTTGTCTTTCATAATAATTAGATTTAAAATTTTAATTAAATAGTGTTCATACCATGAGTTAAAGATAAGAGAGTAAATGCTACACAAATAGGGTTAGACTAGTATAATATCTGTGCAGTATAAACAGACTCCATACTATATACTGGTCAATTTTAAGTAATTGGATTCTATAATACTTGAAAATAAACAGCTTCAGTAAACAGCTTCTATCAAATTTGATCAAAGACAAGTTCATTACATGAAATTATTTAGGGGGAAAGGATAAGTAATGCTAGACAGATGGTACCATAGCTTCTGTAGGCTTGCTTATAGAATAAAGAAAACTGCGGAAAACCAATAATAATAAAAGTGCTTTTATAGATTATTTATAGATTATTGCCATCACAGCTTATATTAAGTAAAAGCCATGTGGCGAATTATCTCCTCACAGACTGTGTAGTAAACATGTCAATATACTCAAATTACTTTTATACTAATAACAATAGCAACATTTTGATTAAATATTAAGATGGACCTGTACTGTTTTACTGAAAATTATTATTTGTAGAGGAAATACAAGAAGTAAACAATATTTGTTTTAAATTCAATTTAAATTTGTCTATTTAATAGTTCTATCATTTTAAGCTTGTCTGTTTTGAAGGATAAAAAATGAGCTATTATGATGTCTGCAGCTGTGTTGTGCAAAAAACTTTATTGTAGCCAATTATTTTATCATTTTTAAGGTGTCAACATGAAACTTAGTATACTTGCTATTCATTACAAAGTGCATTTGTTAAACAAGGGGCATAATTTTGAAAGCTGTATTTTTGGAGTTATCCCCCTTTTTTAACTTAGAATTTTTGTAGCCCTTATCAGACGAGTGTTTACATCACATGCAATGCTCTATTATTTGAATGATTTGATACACATCTTTAAAAGTCAATCGTTTGGGTTATTTTCAATTTATACAACTCATTTTAGAATGAAAGATTTAATTTCGTTTGAAATATAAAAAAAAGCAATCTGTGTTTTGATATATTTTTAAAAGTAAACAATATTGAAAATTTTCTCAGTGTAGGAAATTATTTGTTGTAGTTAGAATAAAAAAAAAATATGACAACCATGGAAATAAACTATCACTATAGTTTTTTTTACATACAAATGACATTGTTTTCATTATTTTATTTTTAATGGAACAGTAAGAAAGAAAAATTTATATTTAAGAATGAGTTTTGTTATATTTATTTGTTTACATTATGAAGTTATAGCTACAGATGTTGTTGAATTTATTTGTTAGAAGCATTACAGATTGTGATTGTTCAAGCATGGAGCACTTGTTTATATTGTTGTTTAATTGTCCTGTCCTGTCCATACAAGGCAGTTGTTATGTCATATATACAAAGCATAGTAAATTGTTTCCGGTTAATTATTTGTAATGTTTTTAGCTCACCTATCACAAAGGGACATGGTGAGCTTATGTGATCGCTTTCAGTCCGGCCGGCTGTAAACTTTTACTTTAAACAACATCTCCTCATAAACCACAAAGCCAATTTCATCCAAACTTTACAGGAATGTTCCTTTTGTAGTCAACTTTAAAAATTGTTCAAAGAATTTAATTCCAAGCAGAACTCTGGTTGCAATGGCAACCAAAAAAAAACAACTTTAAATATCTTTTTTTAGAAAACCGAAAGACTAGAGCTTAAATTATTTTGCATGAAACATTATCTAGTCAGTGTCTCCCAAGTTTGTTAAGATAATTGCCCTGGGGTCAAAATTGGCCCCGCCCCAGGGGGTCATTAATTTTCCTTATTTACATAAAGTAAAAACTTAAAAAATCTTCTTTTAAAAAACCCAAATAGCTAGAGTTTAGGTATTAAGCATGAAACATCTTCTAGCGGGTGTCTACAAAGTTTGTTCAAATAAAAGCTCTGGGGTAAAAATTGGCCCCGCCATAGGGGGTCATTGATTTTCCTTATTTGTATATACATGTAGTTAAAACTTAAAAAAAATTCTTTTAAAAAACCCAAAGAGCTAGAGTTTAGATACTAAGCATGAAAATTTAATATCTTCTAGTGAGTGTCTTCCATGTTTGTTCAAATAAAAGCCCTGGGGTCAACTTTGGCCCCTCCCAGGTGTGGTCATTGTTTTTCCCTATATGTATATAGTAAAAACTTTAAAAAATCTTCTTATAAAAACCCCAAAGAGCTAGAGTTTAGATATTTATCATGCAACATCTTCTAATGGGTGTCTACCAAGTTTGTTCAAATAAAAACTACTGGTTTAAAATTGGCCTTGGCCCAGGGGCCTATATACAGGTGAGCGATTTCAGGGCCATCATGGCCCTCTTGTTAAAAATTATTTCTTGGGATTTGTATTTTTTTTTTTTAACTGCATCATTCTGTTGTTCTGTTTCAAAATCGAAGATTTCATATAACTTTCAATCTGAAATTTTGAAAAAGAAATAATTTCAGGTTTGAATGAAAAGGATCTTGAAGAAGATTACCTTCTTAGTTAAAATGATAGCTTACTATTCTTTTAAACACAGTATACATCAATGAATTATACCATATTATATACAACCTGAATATTACCTCTATTATTTATTAACCTATAGCTCTTCAGCGCTTCTTATGTAAAATTCTTCTAAGTATAATTTCCAATAACCGTAAATTATACCATACCCAGACTATGGTATAATTTTCAGTGAAGGAGTAAGTGTTTCTGGGCGGAGCTATAGGTTAAAACAGATACACCATTGGTGAGTTGACGATTTCTGGGTTTGCGTAAATTATACCATAATCACGTGACCTTTACTGGTCTTAACCTCACGAGACGAAGTCGAGTGAGGTTGCATAAGAAAGGTCACGTGATTATGGTATAATTTACGCAAACCCAGAAATCGTCAACGCAGCAATGGTATATCTATTACTTATACCCCCGCACAACAAAGTTGTAAGGGGGTATACTGGAATCAGCTTGTCCGTCCTGGCTGTCCGGACGTCTGGCCTTCCGTCGGTTTTTCCTTGTCCGCCAAATAACTTAAGATTCCTTTGACCCACAGTCTTCATATTTGGCATAGAGGTTAGTCTTGACTAGAAGATGACCCCTATTGATTTTGAGGTCACTGGGTCAAAGGTCAAGGTCACAGGGACCTTAACTGAAAAAAGCTTGTCCGCCCAATAACTTAAGATTCCTTTAACCCACAGTCTTCATATTTGGCATGGAGATTAGTTATGAGTAGTAGATGACTCCTATTGATTTTGAGGTCATTGAGTCAAAGGTCAAGGTCACAGGGGCCTTGACTATAAAAAGCTTGTCCGTCCAATAACTTAAGATTTTTTTTGACCCACAGTCTTCATATTTGGCATGGAGGTTATTGATGATTAGTAGGTAACCCCTTTCGATTTTGAGGTCACTGGGTCAAAGGTCCAGGTCACAGGGATTTTGACTTCAAAACATTTGTCAACCCAATAACGTAAGAAACCTTTGACCCAAAGTCTTCATATTTAGCATAGAGGTTAGTCATGATTAGTAGATGACCCCAATTGATTTTGAGGTCACTGAGTCAAAGGTCAAGGTCACAGGGGCCTTGACCATAAAAAGCTTGTCTGCCCAATAACTTAAGATTCCTTTGATCCACAGTCTTCATATTTGGCATGAAGATATGTCATGATTAGTAGATGGCCCCTATTGATTTTGAGATCACTGGGTCAATGGTCAAGGTCACAGGGGGCATGACTATAAAAAGCTTGTCTGCCCAATAACTTTAGGTACCTTTGACCCACAGTCTTCATATTTGGCATGGAGGTTAGTGATGATTAGAAGATGACCCCTATTGATTTTAAGGTCACTGGGTCAAAGGTCAAGGTCGCATGGACTTTGACTTTAAAAAGTTTGTCTGCCCAATAACTTAAGATTCCTTTGACCCACAGTCTTCATATTGATTTTAAGGTCAGAGGGTCAAAGGTCAAGGTCACAGGGACCTTGATTAAAAAAGCTTTTCCTCTCAATTGCTTAAGAATGCCTGTCCGCAGTGTATTGATTTTGACATTTTCACATTTGAAGCATGTAGAATACATAACTTAGCCATGCACTGGCTTAGTAACCTCAGATTTGGCAGGGAGGTTGTCCTTGAGCTCTAAATGGCCACTGTTGATTCTGACAAAGTGGTATGCGGGGGTATTCACGCCATGACAGTGGCAGTTCTAGTTATATCTGTATTACACTCATTAATACTGTATATTTAATAACGTGTGTATTGAGTAATGATTTAAAAGAGTGATTTGATTTTTTTTTTTAAAGAAAAAAATTCTTGTTGGAAGATATTAATCTAGTATTGCTTTTCATTTATGAAGTATAATAGATCTAATATAAATAATGCTGATCATTTAGGTGAAGATTTTCGGGAGAGAAAATTATCTATGGTGTTGAAGAAACCTTCAGAGACTCAGCGAGGTCTTGACCGCCGGTCATCATTGCAGAATCCATCCAGATTTCAAGCTTTAAGAGATGCTTTCATAAATTCTTCAAAGAAAGTTATGTCCCCTACACCGGACAGTAAGGTATGAAATTTACATTGTGGAATTCTTCAATATTTTACAATGAATTATAAAGTTTGATTGTAGGTATTATTAAATCATAAATAATCAACCATTTTACGTGCTTTGGAGAGTGTTGTATTTGGTGTATGCTTGTTTGAAGCAAAAATGTTTCATGCTCAATTTTTTCTCATCCAAAACTTAAAAGAACATGGTTAGACATAATTCTTTGTAAAGAAATTTTTATATAACCTGAATGTTGTGATAATTCATCATAGAAGCTGTGAAAAAATTTTTTGAATTAATTACTCCTACCTGGTTGTGTTTTTTTTTAGATTTTTGATCTGCCAGGACCCGATTCTGGTCATGGGTCAAAGGCGAGTTCCCCTATGCCAGACAAGGTGATGATTAGCAACCCCCACAGAGCAGAACTAGGGAACATAGTGAATCAGTATGAAAGTGGCGACAGAGGAACTTTACATAAAATATATTCTGATATGATGGAAGACTGGCTTGTATTCTGTAGTCAACTAGGTTAGTCCATATATTTATGAACAATTTCCTTATATATATAAAAATCACACAAAAAATTGGCACACCACATGCAGGACTCCAAACTAGGATCTCTGGATTGCCGGTCCAGCATATAAAATTATATTTTGCTCCAATTTTCGCAAAAAAAAAATGGAGCTATTATCATGACACTATGGTCAGAGTTGGCAATGGTGCCAATGTGGATACACTTTTGTTAAGGTTGATTACCTAATAAACTTCAAACTTTGTATTCATATCCTTCATAAAAAATGTCAGCATTTCAAAATGATGTATAATCCTGAAATTTGTTTTTGTAAAATTTTGATTCTTTTTCAACTTTATATTTTATATTTTTGCTAAGATCCATTTGTCAAAGACTATCAAAGGAATTCACTTCAAATATTTGGAATATGAGTTTTAAGTTTAAAGACTCATTTCTAATATAGCTTCCAAAAGTTTGACGGTTCTATTAGGGTTTCCATGTGAGTCATAAAAACTGACATGAGGAGCATCTTGGAGTAAGCTACACTATTACAACCTGGAATGTTTGCCATTTAGCCATCAACAAAGAAACTTTGCCATACAGTCAGAATCATATGAATGAAATAATGTAACATTTATATTTCAGAGGCACCATCAGTTAACAAATTAAACTTGACACTAAAGTCACGGTTCTCGTTAGACTATGTATTACAAGAGTTCCAGCACATAGTGTCCAGAATGAGTCAAACAATGCATACAAAGGTTTATAAAATGTTACCTAAAGAAGAAGTTGACGAGGATTCAAATATTGGTGTTCTCTATGTACCAAACAGATCTCCTTTTGAGGTATGTTTGTTTAAGAGTTCCTCATTCCCCAAATGATATTACATGAAGGTCAAGTAAGTCTGAACTAGCGACTTTACAAGATTTTTTTTTTGTAGTAAATTTACTTAACAGTAAGTTCTTTAAAAAAAAATATGTGACGTTTTTTCTTCCAATGTCTCAAATACTTATTCCTGTCTTTGCTGAATAGTTGGTATGTCAGTATGAAGAATATCATGTATGAATATAAAGAACAGATTAATTTCTCTTGGATGTTTTGAAAAAAAAAAGAAGAAAGTTTCTATGAAACTTAACACTGTCCCTGGAATTGAAGTCTGACTTTACTATACTTGATTGATATAATAATAATAATAAAGACTTTATTTAAAGAGGCAACATAGTTAGGCAAGCCCAGTCTTCCCTATGAGCCTCTAGATAACATTTTAAAGTTATCAAATGCATAAACATGTAACACATATACACATAAAAGTTTCTCTTCAAAAATATAGGATAGAACCCTTTATCATTGACATACAAAACTTTTTTTTGCTATGCTTGCATTTTAAATGGTGAAATAAATGATTTAATTTTTGAGTTAAGCAAACTAATTTCCTTTAAACTTTGCATTTTCTGTCGAGCTGGTTCATGTTTAATTTCATCTTGTACTTGACTGCATGACTGTACATTATGAAATATTTAGAAAATATAGATAATAGAGACATCGATAATACAGAGTTTGAGTATATTGTCAAATTTATAGAAAAATATTGCTGGTTTGTATTCATATATTCATGTGTGTGCTTACATACTTATACAGTTGTTTGTATCATCCCTTTATAAAAACCTTTTATATGGAAAATATATCTTAAGTGACCAGCAATGAAATTTTCCTTCTGATCAGTTAAAATGAGCAATTATCATTTCCAAAGAAAGAGATATTTTTCATATATAAGTTTGACTGTACATATATTTGAATTATTCTAAGTAAAATGCTATGTACTTGGATATTTTCAGACTGGAAGACGCAGGTCAGAGACCTCCCTGGACAATAGCAGACCACAGACACTTACACCTGGAGTAGACAGACATTTTGCTGCTATAAGTCGTGACTTTGAACAGTGGTATACTTTTATACATCATCCATATGATGAGGAAGATAATCCTGAACAATCATCCAGTATTAAAGGTAAAATGAGCTGTGTCATGACAAAACCAACATAGTGCGTTTGCGACCAGAATGGATCCAGACCAGCCTGCGCATCCGCGCAGTCTGATCAGGATCCATGCTGTTCCCTTACCAAAATCTATAACAAGTAGAGAAACTGATAGCAAACAGCATGGATCCTGATCAGACTGCGCGGATGCGCAGGCTGGTCTGGATCCATGCTGGTCTCAAACGCACTATGTTGGTTTTGTCATGACACAGCTCATTAATATTAACCCTTTCCCTACTGGAAACAAATGTGTTGTTAACCTTTACCACCAGTATAGAGGCTTGGCAGCCTGAACATTCATAATAAACATCACGTTAAAAGTCAGTTACCCCTGTGACCTGCATAAATATCTATAAATATCCAGAGGATATTATTGGTAATGTTCAATTTATAAAAAAGGAGGTCTTTTTAGCTCACCTGTCACAAAGGAACATTGTAATTAAGTAGAATAAAGGTTAACTTTCTTAATGCTGAAGATATCGATGACAGTATAGAACCAGACATAGAGTATATCTGTACAATCTAAATAAGTTCTATACTGTAAGCTAATTAATCTAAGTATTTTGATTTTAAATTCCAAGGGCACGGTCAATATATAAGCTTTGATATACATGTATAAAGGAAACACAGTATAATTTGAAAGGTTTATTGCAACTGTACTGTCATAATCTGTAAGTTAATTAATTAAAAATTAAGCCTTTTTAACTCACCTGTCACAAAGTGACAGGGTAAGCTTTTGTGATCGCTTTTCGTCCAAAGAATTTAATTCCATGCAGAACTCTGGTTGCCATGGCATGACAACCGAAAGAAAAAACTTTAAATATCTTCTTTTAAAAAACCCTAAGAGCCAGAGCTTAGATATTTGGCATGAAACATCTACTAGTGAGTGTCTACCAAGTTTGTTCAAAATAAAAGCCCTGGCCCCGTGTTCACTAACAAAAGATCAGGATCAGGATCAAGTGATCCTGATTTTATTTTCATTGTTTTATGTTACTAAAATTAATCATGCTTTCATAGAATTGAATGGTATATATTCAAAATGTAAAATATTGCTGATTTGCAAAGAAACCAAACTATTTTGGGATAAAATCAACAAAAAAAACAAAACAAATACAAAAATTTTCAGATCAAAATAAGGATCAATTTTAGGATCAGGATCAATATTTGGATCAACTGTAAAATGCCCGTATCTTGCAAAAATGACAATAAATTTATTCTAAAATTTCATAAACTTGCTATTGCAAGACTAGTTTTATCAAATTAATATTAGATATTTAATCTTTGAGGATAATCAATGAAGAATATTAGAGTTTTTAAATTTGATCCTGATCTTGATCCTGATCCTTAAATCTTTGTGAACACGGGGCCTGGGGATCATATTGGCCCCACCCCAGGGGGTCATTGATTTTCCCTATATGCATATAGTAAAAACTTAAAAATTATTTTTTTAAAGAACCCAAAGAGCTAGAGCTAAGATATTTAGCATGAAACATCTTCTAATGAGTGTCTACCAAGTTTGTTCAAATAAAAGCCCCGGGGTCAAAATTGGCCCCGCCCCAGGGGGTCATTGATTTTCCCTATATGCATATAGTAAAAACTTAAAAAATCTTCTTTTAAAGAACTCAAAGAGCTAGAGCTAAGATATTTAGCATGAAACATGTTCTTATTGATGTCTACCAAGTTTGTTCAAATAAAAGCCCTGGGGTCAAAATTGGCCCCGCCCCGGGGGTCATTGATTTTCCTTATATGTGTATAGCAAAAACTTAAAAAATCTTCTTTGAAAAAACCCAAATAGCTAGAGTTTAGATATAAAGCATGAAACATCTTCTAGTGAGTGTCTACAAAGTTTGTTCAAATAAAAGCCCTGGGGTCAAAATTGGCCCTGCCCCGGGGGTCATTGATTTTCCTTATATGTGTATAGCAAAAACTTAAAAATCTTCTTTGAAAAAACCCAAATAGCTAGAGTTTAGATATTAAGCATGAAACATCTTCTAGTAAGTGTCTACAAAGATTGTTCAAATAAAAGCCCTGAGGTCAAAACTGGCCCCGCCCCAGGGGTGTCATTGTTTTTAACTATATGTGTATAGTAAAAACTTAAAAAATCTTTTTTGAAAAAAACCCAATGAGCTAGAGCTTAGATGTTTAGCATGAAACATCTTCTTATGGGTGTCTACCAAGTTTGTTCAAATAAAACAACAGTATATAGGAGATAACATATAAATACAATTGGTATTGTTTTATATAGAATGTATATATTATTTATATATATTCTAGGATATTTATTTAATCTTTTCAGGAAAGCATGCTTCACAGAAGTTCGCAGCTCACATTCCATCGGTAACAGAAGGTAAAACATTTGGAATGTTCTCAGAGTCGACATCGTTAATTCCACGTCAGAGATTCTTACTTCTCTCATTGAAAAACAAAGAGGTATATTATTCTGTCAGTATATCCTTCTGTCAGTATGTTGTAGAAGTTATCTTTCAGTATTTAGTGCAACAATATTTTCATGTTATTGATATATTTTCAAAGAAAAGAATGAAATATGCATGTTTATAAAATAAGACATACAAATATATATTGAGTGAAAACTAAAATATCTTAAAATTTGATATTTATTACCAATTAATTGACATACACATAGAGAATATTTGTTTGTTTTGCATGTAAGAACAAAATATATTTTACTGAGTAGGACACCAGATGCAATATTTACACGAGTGGCATAGTCACGAGTGAAAATATATAAGCTGGTGTTCACAAGTGAAATATATTTCAATTGTTAATTCCATTTGATTCCATTTAGTTATGAAATATTATTTTCATCAGCATTCAAATATAGTCTGGCTACTGTGAAAATTATCAAATATAATTTCACTGTGAAAATATGCATTGTATTTTTCCTGGCCAATTAGTAAGGACTTAAATCAAAATGAAGGTAATTATAAAACATGTTATACTAGGTAAGACTAGTAATAGCATTTTTTTTTTAGAAGTTGATAAGTATCAGTATGGGATAAAAATTTCTATCATCTATGGTATTGTTTTGTTTCAGATATGGCTGTATGCTTACAACTTGACAAATGAGGCATTCTCAACTTTATCAAAGCACATGATAAAATTAGTACAATGGAACAATTGTCGTACACACCTGTTATCTAATGTTGTCACACAGAAATGTGGACTGTTTAACCACTACATGTATGGTAATGCTGCGTGCAATATGGTAAGTTGGTAAATTTATTGTACAGGGTTTACTTAATTATCATATTGTGTAACCCTATCAAGATCTCAGTACTGAAACTTGGAAGACATTGGCTGGCCTAACACTATACTTAACCCCTGTCATATAACTGGTGTCAGAAACTAAATAGTTAAACCTTAATTGCAGACTTAAAGCAGCATTCTTCCTGGAAAATTGTATGAAAATTTTGAAAATAATAAATAAAATATTTACGAGTGAACAATGAAATTAATTAATTTACACATTGCAAAGAACACTTTCAAGTCGAGTAAATTACCAAAAAAAAGTCAAAATATGTAAATTATCCCCTACTGTGTTAGCAATGCCTTACTGCATTATAGTAACATAGTAGAAATATGGTGACAAATTTTGCAAAATCAGTCATTTATTGCATATAACATAAAAATCATCACTTGAAATTTGAATATTTTTACTTTTCTTAAAATCTTTGAACATTTTTCTCAAAGTTGATTTTTAGCTCACCTGAATTAGCTCAGTGTGAGATTTAGGATTGTTGAATGGCTGTCGTCCATTGTCTGTTGTCCATTGTCTGTCGTCTCTCCACATTTGTTTGATAACACTCTAGTGGTCACATTTTTGACTCAATCATCATCAAACTTTGTCTGGATGCTTATCTAGGTAATTCCTCGAATGAGTTCGAACATGTGTCATCTCAGATGAAAAACTAGGTAACAGGAGCTAAAAATAGAACAATCTTGTTAACACTCTATGGCTACTGTTTTGATCCAAATATCCTGGAAATTGATCTTAAAGTTTGTTTTGATGACTTCTAGGCCAAGTTCGAATATGGATCACCTGGGGTCAAAAACTAGGTCACACCACTCAAATATGGAAAAACCTTGTTAACACTCTAGTGGTCACATTTTTTACTCAATTGCCATCAAACTTGGTCAGGATGCTTGTCTAAGTAATTGCTCAGATGAATTTGATGCATCTGGTGAGGGATCTAGGGCCATTAGTCTTGAAATATTTGGCTCATCTGAAGGCATGCAGCTTAAAGATTTTTCTTAGATGTATATGTATGTAAGCGGCCGAATAGCTAAGTCGGTAGAGCCACAGTACGGTATTTCAAGGGTCCCCGGTTAAAGTCCTCGTCAGGCTGCACATTGGAATATTCATGTTATATAATAAAGATTTATACTAATTGAGATACTACTGTATGTGTCAAACACCCCACTAATTCAGTGGTCTACTTATCTAATTAACAAACCACCAGTACAGTATCATCCCAGGTACTTTTCAATTAAAGTTTTTGATTATGAAAAGGACCATTATGCCATAGAAATGCCTTTATTTCATTTCTCAATTTTTTTATATTTGGTGTCCTGTTATAGTTTCTAAAAAGTAACTCATTTGCCAATTACCTGAATCATAGTTTTCTTCTGTTGTATTCTTGGAATTAGTGCAGTTATAGTGATTTAGTATTTTGTATGGAAGTCAAAATTATATTTTGTTAACATCAATTTTTGCTACTTTTATGACAAATAATTTCACATTCAGTTTTAAGTTATTCAGATAATAAGCATCTAACATGCTCGAAAACTATTATATATATATTATTAACTCATGTTTTTCCTTTGAAAATTTTATTCATTTCTGAAGCATAGTGTATCTTTAAATGCATTTTTCATAAAAAGAGATTTGATGGAAAAGTTCTGATATTACAGGAGAAAATGACACAGCAGACAGACTCCATTGATCAGCTGATCAACTGTCCAGCCCCACCCCCACCAAATAAGGAGAAGTTAAATCGTACACAGAGTTCGTCTTCTGTCAGGGAGACATACCTTCCATTTGACGTTACATTTAAAGACTTGTACCCGAACAAGCCACTCCATGTGTCATACCTGGCTCCTCATACTGACTACGTGAAACAATATGGCCAACAAGCTCATGACATCAGACTTGATCATAAGAGACGTAAGTTCTTTAAAATTCACATTCTTTCAAAATCAGATTAGAATTAATTTTGCTATTTTAGTTTAGTTTAGATATATTCGTTTAATCTTGATTATGAAATAAGTATTTGTGACTTTCACGTAGCTTCCTGGGAACCAGCCAGTGCTGGTGTCATATTACAAATTATGTAGATGACTTGGATAGGGCTTAAACCCACAACCTCAGGGTTTTGCAGCAGACACCTAAACAACTTAGTCACAACTCCCCTTGTTTATACCATTGTTGAGAATGACCTGTAAGAGATAGAATGACTGAAATATTATGAGTATGATATTTTTGTTGAAATATTTTCTATAAAATGAGCAAATAAATTATTGAAACGATTTAATTTGTTGAGCTTTGATTTCAGAATTTGACAAGATCCACAATATTAGCAGGTTGTATGTCATGTGGGTACAGAAAATGTCACCTAATTATCCAATATCTGTAAGTATAATTCCATTAGTTATTAATTAAAATTTCATTGCCTATGCAATATTTGTGAAAGCTCAATCTAATTGAACTTTACAACCTCTATTTTATTTCAAGTTTTAATTGTAAAGTAGCAGTGAAATGGTTTGGAATTAAAAATAGCATTTATGTCTAAGTGAATAACATGTATAATATTAAGATTTTCTGTGAAATGTGAAATTGTGATAAACATGGCAGTATATTTTTATATTATCATGTTAATTGTATGTTTGCAGGAATCTATTATGAAGCAATTAAAGCAGGCTTCTAGACTGTTTCATTACTGTGCCACACCATTACTATTTAGTGCTAAATGGCGTAAAAATGTCCTTGAAAAATACAAGGTCACTCAGCAAGACACCCAGAATGTGATTGTGTCCACAAGCACTCCTGATACCAAAACTGTAAGTTAACATTTGTCAACAAAAATAGAAAACGTTCAGATGAAAGATTGGTTTCTTCTGAGAAATTTAGATCAGTAATTTTCTTTTTTTTTTTCCTAAGAGCTTTTTGACATAAAGTTCATTTTTTACACTGATTTAAAGATTCTTGTTTTAATAAAATGAGCCGCGTCATGACAAAACCAACATAGTGCGTTTGCGACCAGCATGGATCCAGATCAGACTGCGCATCTGCGCAGTCTGATCAGGATCCATGCTGTTCGCTAATCAACTCTATCAAGTAGAGAAACTAATAGCGAACAGCATGGATCCTGATCAAACTGCGCGAATGCGCAGGCTGGTCTGGATCCATGCTGGTCGCAAACGCACTATGTTGGTTTTGTCATGACGCGATTCATATTTCAATTTTCTTTTCAAACTTTGTATTACAACTGTTGCCCATATGTTATAGGGAGTGAACATGTACTGTATTTCCTAGTATGCTGAAATAAATAAACTGAAAACTGTTTTTTAAACTATCTGCCTGTCTGTACAGGAAAACAATCTGATTGAAACCTTATATATAAGAATAAACTAGCAAATTGTCGACAAATTATAATCACTATTTAGCCATTTTATTCACAAACTATTCACAAACTATATGTTTTGACAACATACGAAGTTGGCAATTGTTGTAAATATTGTATAAGTGTCTCATTTATATATTGGCAATGGGGTACAATAATTTACTTAAACATTAAATACAGAGTCATTTCGTGCAATATAAATGATAATTCTGGTAAAATGTAGCTAGGGAATGACCTGAAAATTTGGTCCAAACCTTCTTCAGTTTATAGACAAATCTTGGAAAGATATTTCCTGTCCCGACATATCAAAAAGCCCACTGAATCCTCTATAATAACTGGTTTTAAATGTGAATCATCACACATGCCTTATGCTTGAACTGGATTGGCAAACACTTCTCCTATGAAACAGTGCACAGAAGGGTACCAGTAATGCTGGAAATAAAACAGTGCACAGAAGGGTACAAGTAATGTTGGAAATGAAACAGTGCACAGAAGGGTACCAGTAATGCTGGAAATAAAACAGTGCACAGAAGGGTACCAGTAATGTTGGAAATGAAACAGTGCACAGAAGGGTACCAGTAATGCTGGAAATAAAACAGTGCACAGAAGGGTACCAGTAATGTTGGAAATAAAACAGTGCACAGAAGGGTACCAGTAATGTTGGAATTGAAACAGTGCACAGAAGGGTACCAGTAATGCTGGCAAAATCAGCATATGACCCTTGCATTGTTGTTGTGACGAGACCAAAAACATAAAATTTCATTATTCCTTTTTCAGAGATCCAGACATGGATCTGGGACCTCTACAGGAAGTGTCAGAACAAAGCGTACAGACAGTAACGAGTTGAAGAAAAGACCTTCACTTCAGACGTTCAAGGAGTTCCAGTCTGACTCCGAGGACAGCATCGGAGAAGATGAATGGCATTTAGAGATGAGGTCCACATTTATATACCAGTATATTAAATATCTACAAACTATTGGCTTCCATTATGTACAGATGGATAAGTCTCAAGACAAGGGAAAAGTAAAGAAAAGGTTTGTATTGAGTCATGATGATAACCTAGAGACTGTGTATGATATTATAAAAGGTCCATTTCGATGGTTTCATCAACAGTTCTTGATGTAATGTAACCAAAACTAAATAAATGGGTCATGTAATTGATTTTCTCACACTTTTCATTCAATAAATAGTCAGTGTCTAAGTCACAGAATAGATAAATTATTACAAATTAAGTTGTTCTGGAGAGAAAAATTTTAAAACTTTTTACACTCATTTCCTTTTTAAAATTTGTTTAACATATGAATTTCTTTATTTGTGTGGGATGTTAAATGAATTTGTTTGATTGTTAAATATTGTATATGTATAGATCAGCAATGCCAAATGAGAACACAAACACTGGGGAGATAGAAATCAAGGCTACTGATACACATAATCTACAGAAGACCGTATCAGGCGGGGTTCTCCTCATAGAAATCAGCTTCCGTGAAGAGTATTTCTGTGTGAAACTGTTCACATGCGATCATAACAAACTGGGCATCACTGTCAACCAGCAGGTATATTCTTCCCAGATACACATAGTTTAACTTTTTTGCTCCCCTCTGACATTATTACCCCACCCACTTATATTACAGTACCAGACTCATCTTATGATTTTATTATTTTGAAACTGCTTAAATGAATTAGGAACATTATATAATGTATCATTATGTTCAATTGACATTTTTCTCAAAGATTTTTATACATACTATTTTAGCCATGCCATGACAAAACTAACATAAAACGTTTGCGACCAGCATGGATCTAGACCAGCCTGCGATTTCGCGCAGTCTGATCAGGATCCATGCTGTTCCCTTACAAACCCTATAGTATAGAAACTGATAGCGAACAGCATGGATCCTGATCAGACTGCGCAGATGTGCAGGCTGGTCTGGATCCATGTTGGTCGCAAACCCATTATGTTGGTTTTGTCATGGCGCGGCTCATTTAATTAAGGGCCATTTTCAATAATGTGGTTAAGAGGGATGCTGGGTGGGAGACTGCAGGAGGAGAATTATTTGATGTACTGTTCTTTTGATTTAAAGCTTTTGTAAGTCTAATGTGGTAATACCATAGTTAAACTACATAGTTGTTTAAACTTGTATACTTTTATTTAGAAAAGAAAGATATGAAAAAAAAAATCAGAATGAATCATAAAGTAATTAGAATCCCAATAATAGCTTCTCTTTGTTGTTTTGTTTTTTTCTGAGAAAAATTTTAGTATTTAAACATGGTCACCCCAGAGCCTAAAATTATCAAATATGAAAACTTTGTATAAGAGTGAAGTAAAATGGTAAAAAATGTATATGTAGTTTGTAAAATTGAAAATAGTTTATTTTGATATTAGATATATTTTGTATAATTAATGGAAGTTTTAATTTGAAAGGATATAGTTTGATAGGATATATTTTTTTTTAAAATGATATAATAAGATGATATTAATGTGATATGATGGTGAGGTAAATGATATGATGGTTAGTTAGGTGATATTATTTCTAATGGTGCTTGATTTCAGAAACATGAAATAGAGGACATCCCTATTGCTCAGGAAGTGAGTTTCCATAGTAACGGTTTATTCTCAATGAGTACCCTCAAAATTTGCACATTCTACTAAAAATAATCCACTTCAAGGTTAAACTGTTGGTTGCTAAACATATTCTTGGGAAGAATTCAAATGTTAAGTTGAAAATGAAATGTCCTTATCAGTAGTTGACGAAGTTACCAATGAATTGACATGTATGTGGGGAGGTGATAATTACTTAGGAAAGAGATAAATTTTTGTACTTAATAAAAACATGTTTATTAGAAGGGATTATTTGCTTTCTTTTTAGGACAAAATTTGTTTTTGTAGAATTTGAAATGTTGAAATATTGAAATAAATAGAAATAATTCTAGCCAAGAAACTTATTTGCTTTTAACATGTGATACATGAACTTATAATTTCCAAGACTTATGGTTGTCCGCTGGTGGTTTTGTCAAAAATAACTGTTATAATTGGACATTAATCATCCCCCATACTCCTGTGACAGTCACTGAATTTCCAGAACCATCCTGGATTTCCCAGACATAATAGTATATTACTATCATAAATGGTACCTCAAATTTTTCTCCATGGAAGTCACCATATGACCTTGACATTATCTGTGAGATTTTACTATCTGAATACAAGTGCTGTTACTGGCCGGTTTATATTACTGGCATAAAAACAGGTCAGTCTGTACGTGTGACGAGATTCTTTCATGTAAACATTCTTATTTTTAGTACTTCATGTGTTGACATATCACTAACATAATAAACATGACACATCCATTGTTCAAATTGATGCAAAATTATGGAAAAAAAATCAAAACGAAAGATTAGATCTTTATGAATAAAATATAAATTAAAAAGTTATAAGAGGGGAACAACATACTAAAAACACCAGGTTGGTTATTATATTTATTAAACTACCTGTTTCTGGTAATATACCCTTCATCAAATTAAATTTAATACTGTTTCAACCAGCAGTTTAACTGACAAGTATAGTTGGGACTTGATTCAGCATCTTGTACAGATAAACTATCTGCACTAACTTACACAACTGTATTCAGTTAAAATTTAACAAGTTTCAGGTCCACTTAGTTAAACTTTCAGAGTAAATAGATAATGAAATTATACTATGTGGAAAAAAAACTCTTAATGTAAAAGATCAGTCTATTTTGAAAAGAATAGAAGTCAATCATATAGGAAATATATACCAGTAGACTATTTTATTGATGAGTGATCAAAGTGATAATTCTTGTCTTGAATTACCTCTATTAGAGTTCATGGTATTGTGCATACATTACAGTATCAATATAGTGCAAGGCAAGCTCAACCTAAACTGGCTACTCAAAATTTGTATTATAAAATTGAAATCCCTTGCACTGCTAGTGTATTGTTCCAAATTCAAACAGGGCAATCCATTATACAAATTGAGGATGTTAAGATAAATTGCTGATAGTCTTATTACAGTTTTATAATGATTTTATGTAAGTCAGAATTACCCATAGCAGAAACAAGTCAGACATCTTGTTTGTGCTCTGATTTTTTTGCTGTATTTAAATCCTTATAAGATATGTATTTAGGTAGTACATGTTACGATGCTTTTCGCTTACAGTATGATAAATCCTGCCCCATGGCATAGATAGTATTCATAATTTATTTCACAAGTACATGTATTCTTGTAATGGTACAGGATAATCTTATCCCAATTTTTTTTCTTCAAATATTTGCTCGCTTGTGCTAAAAAGTGACTCAAAAAGGCTTGTTTTATTGTTATAGAATGAATGTTATGGTACATCAATTTTCATTATGTGATATATAAAAAAGTTGAAATTTTCAGAAAAGATTTTTGTTTGTTAATATTCTCTTTGCGTTTTGTAATTTCCCATTAGATAATGTCAAAGCAAATTGTTTACAGCTATATATAAGCTTTTATTTTTCTATACTTCATATTATGAAAAGCTTAGCTTTATTTTGCACCTAAATATAATAAATAGACCAATAACTGCTATTTTTCATTTATTTTCTGTCAAAAGAGTAACAAAATTATTTAGTATCAATATTTCGTCACCTTTGTGCAGTAACGGGTTAACTCATATTAAATTATATAAGAAGTTAACTCATTACTGAACTAAGGTGACAGTTTATATGTACATAATATGCTTGGCATTTCAAGGTCATTTATTTTGTTATGACTTGACCTTGACACTCAACAGTGGTTGCTTTATTTAGTTTAACTTTATAAATTAGTAGCTATATAGCTGACTCGCCTATGTGCCGACATGTATATTGACCAAGTTTATGACTAAAATATATTAAACTCTCTCAAATCAGAAAGAAATGAATATTTAAAATTCCATTTTGTAATACAATTTGTCAATCATTAAAGAAGAATAGTAATGAGAATACATTTACTTCAGTTGTATTATACCTACTTGGAATTTTCATTAAATTCACTTTTTTTCTCTTGAATCTTTTGCATGTTGTGAGATATCTTCATACTGTTATAGTAAATTGTTTCCTTGTGAAATACTAGGATTGATCATACTTTACACTGAGAGCTCTTGGTTACCATAGAGTTTGATTTCTCTCTTTCCCTCTAGAGTATACATTCTGCATAATGTCATTTCTGTACTCTGTGTATCAACAACCTTGGTATTTTGGGTCAATGTCATATCTGTTTTAAGGTCATTAGTTGAAGTTCATGGGTCGACTATTGAAAACAGTTTCTTACAATCAGGATAAAATTAAAAACATATTGAGAGTATGAACTTTATTGAATTAGAATTGAATGCATTTTAACTTGTATTTTACGTAATCCATATATAATGGTAGTTAACAATTATTTTTACTGATATAAAGCTCAGTGCATAAGTGAAAATTGCACTAGTCATTCGTAATGTGTGGAAATGAGCATAGTTATTTCTATCACTGCTCTTGGATGTCTTGGTGAATGTGGAGGTTTTGTTTTCTCATCAAAGTTAGAGGAATTTAGGTAGCTAGACTTCGATGTCTTAAGTAAGATTTGTATGACTAAAAATAGTGTTTAAAATAATAAATTATTTAATAATTATTAAGTTTTCAAAAAGAAGGAAATATACAAAAAAATAGTAATGAGTTTTGTAATGTGTGCTGAGTGAAGCATTATGGTAATATTGGTAAAGAAACATTTGACATGGATAAATTAATATGTATGAAAAGACTGTTAATTAGAAACAATGAAACTAAACTTCATATGGTCTTTATTTAGAAAAGAATCTTATGACCTGGCTTTAATTCATTTTAAGATGCATTCATTACTAGCAGACAAAATGAACTTGGACATTTCGTCAAATGGTCATTTGTCTCTCACCACTAATTGATAATCATGTGGAATTAGTAGACGGTATCTTGAGGAGAAATTTGTGGCTTTTTCTCATGCTTTGTTTAAAGAGACCATTGTATTAAACGACTATTTGGTGTTTCCCTTGTGTGGTTGCTTAATACAAGATTGAATGTTCTGGTAATTTAGCCAGAAGAGGACAGTTGGCATGCATTCATTATGTCTTATTGTGCCCATGGAGAATGGATATTACCATGGAGTTGCTGTTGCTGAGTTGTACTTGGATAATTACAAATGACTGGTACATCTAGTACATGTTGATGAATCATATACAATTATTGACTAGTGAGCCTTTGAATATGATTTAAGCATGTGTAGTCAATTGTTATTGATTCTGTTTTTACATAATGGGAAAAAATCCAAAATGATTTTATAATTTGTTCTGTTGACTACTGTTATAACCAATGAAATTGCCGCTATTGTTAGATCATATAATAAAGCTTTTTAAAATGTTAATGTAGAACTTTGGCATAGGCATATCTTACCTGTCATGATACAAAATTTATCAATATATATATAATAGTCGTGAATAAAGTCGGTGCTTCATAGTCATACAGTATTAGTGTCTGTAACTGGATATAGTGAGAGTTAATATATTAGATAGTCTCATGATGGGCAATAAAGTGTTCTCTTTTTAAACAGCCTTTCTTTATTATAAAAAAGTATATGATATTTGAAGTAAAAATGCATTTCTTTTTTTAAATTTTGACGCTTGTGTAAAATGTATGTGTATATTTTTAAAATAATGAAGTATTTAAGGATACAATGCAATGTTTTACATGATCAGTCATTTAATAGTGACCTTCATATAACAAAGTTGAGTAAATCTAGTGTGTGCAGACATTTTTTGGTTTATATATATTGCTTGTTTCTTGCAAGTATTACATTCTGACGTGTTTTAGTTGGTTTATTTACCCATGTATGCACTCCTTGAGTTGATTGTTATACATTAATTGTTACTTTTGTTAGTCTGTTAATAACTTACACACACAGAAAAATACTAACCTTTTTCAGGCAGATGTGCACAGGAAAAATTGTGCAAGTTTGTCTCTTTTTGGTCAGAAATTATTTGACATTACTGATAAGTTATTTTATGACTTCTGAACAGACACAGATATGTTCACTTTCAAATCCCTATACTCTGTTACATAGAACAACCATGCAAGTTAAAGAATCACACAAGATTGACCCAAACTGATGGTTCGATTTGAAAACATTTTTATAGATTTTATTTCTGAATGGAGTGTCTCCCAAAATTGTTCAAATAATTTACAAACTTTGATGACGATATTTCTAGAGTGTATTGTTCATCAATCTGGTATAAGCAATAGGATATATTCTCTTCAGACACAATGTTGTATTTTGTCTTATGTGTTATAGTTTATAATGTACACTCTATGATGTTTCTGGGAATGTGTGTTTAGTTTCATAAAAAGAAATTAAATTTTGGAATAGAACCGAGTTATGCGATTAAAGACTCAACATTTGTTTGTATTTTATACTCAAATGTAGCTGACATTTCATAAAATATAATGTACTCAACTAAAACTTTATTCTTTACCACAGTGAATATAATTTCATTAAAAAATTTGAATTTAATAATTTGAAACATTTCAATTCACAATGAACTGTTTTTGAAAGTTAAGGCAAATCCAGTACACAAATTTATCAACTCTGTAATCGGAACTTTTCCCTTTCTTTAATTGTTTAAAGCATAAAGATATGCTAATAATAATTCATATACATTGTATTAACTTCAGTCTACCATTGGTGAAATGAGGAACAAAGTGTTATCGGTTGCTGATTATACTTTAACAGAACCAATGAATACTCATGAATTTGGTAGCCATTGTTTAGCTAGACTGATTATTCAAGTAAAAGTTATTACTGAATGTAAACAAAACAATAAACATCCTATATTTGTTTTTGTGTTTTTGTAGCATTATTGACATTACAACTTTACTCACGGGTATACTTCTTTTTTATTTCAGCTGAAGTTACTATTTGTTGATGAATGTGAAAAGTGTAAGCATGTGATCCATGTACACTCTTTTGCCCATGATTTTCATCTTAGATGTATACAGGTAGGTTTTGCCCATGATTTTCATCTTAGATGTATACAGGTAGGTTTTGCCCATGATTTTTATCTTAGATGTACAGGTAGGTTTTGCCCATGATTTTCATCTTAGATGTATACAGGCAAGTTCTGCCCATGATTTTCATCTTAGATGTATACAGGTATTTTTTACCCATGATTTTCATCTTAGATGTATACAGGTTTGTTTTTTACCCATGATTTTCATCTTAGATGTACAGGTAGGTTTTGCCCATGATTTTCATCTTAGATGTACAGGTAGGTTTTGCCCATGATTTTCATCTTAGATGTATACAGGTAGGTTTTGCCCATGATTTTCATCTTAGATGTACAGGTAGGTTTTGCCCATGATTTTCATCTTAGATGTATACAGGCAAGTTCTGCCCATGATTTTCATCTTAGATGTATACAGGCAAGTTCTGCCCATGATTTTCATCTTAGATGTATACAGGCAAGTTTTGCCCATGATTTTCATCTTAGATGTATACAGGTAGGATTTGCATGTTATAATGTATGTTTATTGATAGTTTGCTACATATAAACTATCATTAGTAAGTAAGGGTAATATCTTGTATGTATTTTGTTGTTTCAGTCGTATATTAGTGGTCAACATGATATATTCAAGCCAGGGTACTATTTGTCTGGTCTACTCAATGATTTTGTCAAGGTGTATGCATATGCTCCTAGTTTCTCCAGAAATTTCCTACAGAGAGGTAAGTGGTAAAAATAAACATCTGAATAACAGTTTAAGTTAGATTCAAGAGGTCATGTGATACAATATATTTTTTCTGAGAACTACTTTTCTTTAATGATATTAAAGTTATTTTGTAATTGTTTAAAAATTACAAGTATTACATTTAAGAGATAATAGTATTTCATTTCAAAGTATTGTTACCAATGTTGTTTTTAGCTCACCTGTCACAAAGTGACAGGGTGAGCTTTTGTGATCGCTTTTCGTCCGGCGTCTGTCCGTCCGTCTTCCGTCCGTCCGTCGTCCGTCCGTCCGTCGTCCGTCCGTAAACTTTTGCTTTAAATGACATCTCCTCATAAACCACTGAGCCAATTTCATCCAAACTTCACAGGAATGTTCCTTTGGTGGTCACCTTTAAAAATTGTTCAAAGAATTTAATTCCATGCAGAACTCTGGTTGCCATGGCAACCGAAAGAAAAATCTTTAAATATCTTCTTTTAAACAACCCTAAGAGCTAGAGCTTAGATATTTGGCATGAAACATCTTCTAATGAGTGTCTACCAAGTTTGTTCAAATAAAAGCCCTGGGGTCAAAATTGGCCCCGCCCCAGGGGGTCATTGATTTTCCCTATATGCATATAGTAAAAACTTAAAAAATCTTCTTTTAAAGAACCGTAAGAGCTAGAGCTAAGATATTTGGCATGGAACATCTTCTAGTGAATGTCTACCAAGTTTGTTCAAATAAAAGACCTTGGGTCAAAATTTGCCCCGCCCCAGGGGGTCATTGATTTTCCCTATATGCATATAGTAAAAACTTAAAAAATCTTCTTTTAATGAACTGTAAGAGCTAGAGCTTAGATATTTGGCATGAAACATCTTCTAGTGAATGTCTACCAAGTTTGTTCAAATAAAAGCCCAGGGGTCAAAATTGGCCCCGCCCCAGGGGGTCATTGATTTTCCCTATATGCATATAGTAAAAGCTTAAAAAATCTTCTTTTAAAGAACCCAAAGAGCTAGAGCTAAGATATTTGGCATGAAACATCTTCTAGTGAATGTCTACCAAGTTTGTTCAAATAAAAACCCTGGGGTAAAAATTGGCCCTTCCCTGGGGGGTCATTGATTTTCCCTATATGCATATAGTAAAAACTTAAAAAATCTTCTTTTAAAGAACCGTCACAGCTAGAGCTTAGATATTTGGCATAAAACATCTTCTAATGAATGTCTACCAAGTTTGTTCAAATAAAAGCCCTGGGATCAAAATTGGCCTGGCCCCAGGGGGTCATTGATTTTTCCTATATGCATAAAGTTAAAACTTAAAAAATCTTCTTTTAAAGAACTGTAAGAGCTAGAGCTTAGATATTTGGCATGAAACATCTTCTAGTGAATGTCTACCAAGTTCGTTCAAATAAAAGCCCTGGGGTCCAAATTGGCCCCGCCCCAGGGGGTCATTTATTTTCCCTATATGCATATAGTAAAAACTTAAAAAATCTTCTTTTAAAGAACCGAAAGTGCTAGAGCTAAGATATTTGGCATGAAACATCTTCTAGTGAATGTCTACCAAGTTTGTTCAAATAAAAGCCCTGGGGTCTAAATTGGCCCGGCCCCGGGGGGGTCATTGATTTGCCCTATATGCATATAGTAAAAACTTAAAAAATCTTCTTTTAAAGAACCGTAAGAGCTAGAGCTTAGATATTAAGCATGAAACGTCTTCTAGTGAATGTCTACCAAGTTTGTTCAAATAAAAGCCCTAGGGTCAAAATTGGCCCCGCCCCAGGGGGTCATTGATTTTCCCTATATGCATATAGTAAAAACTTAAAAAATCTTCTTTTAAAGAACCGTAAGAGCTAGAGCTAAGATATTTAGCATGAGACATGTTCTAATGGGTGTCTACCAAGTATGTTCAAATAAAAGCCCTGGGGTCAAAACTGGCCCCGCCCCGGGGGTCATTGATTTTCCTTATATGTGTATAGCAAAAACTTAAAAATCTTCTTTGAAAAAACCCAAATAGCTAGAGTTTAGATATTAAGCATGAAACATCTTTAAGTAAATATCTACAAAGCTTGTTCAAATAAAAGCCCAGGGGTCAAAACTGGCCCTGCCCGAGGGGTGTCATTGTTTTTAACTATATGTGTATAGTAAAAACTTAAAAAATCTTCTTTTAAAAAACCTAATGAGCTAGAACTTAGATGTTTTGCATGAAACATCTTCTTATGGGTGTCTACCAAGTCTGTTCAAATAAACAAATAAAAGCTCTTGGGTAAAAATTGGGCCGGGGGTGGGGGGCTATATACAGGTGAGCGACCTCAGGGCCATTATGGCCCTCTTGTTGAGGTTATTAGGTCAAAGATCAAGGTAGGTTACAGTGACATGGTGTTAAATCCTTGTCCAGTCAATAACTTGAGATGAAATAAGTCATGGTTTATGTTACTTGTTAGGGACGTTGCCGCAATGGCTAGTAGATTTTGAGGTCAAAGATCAAGGTCAAGCGGAGGCATAAGTTTTCTATGGTCACATTTTTTGGTCATCTAAATGTTAACTATGTATCAATCTTACATCAACATCAGTAGAAATATGATTATAAAAAGTTTACCACCAATAAATAATTTTTAATGTTGTTTAAACATTAAACGTCTTACATATTTTTTCATAAAGCTATGTTAGACTTTCACTGAAATACTTTGTCAATATTGTCAATGTAGAAAAAAATTTTTAATTGTTGTATAGAATTAATTTTACTGTTTGTGTAACATGAGGTTATTGGTATATTGACCTAATTTAGTTATTTTATTTCAGAGGTTGTGAGTATCCCTAAGCCATCATGTTCTAGTAAAGACTTATATGAGTACATGTTACAACATGCCAAACTTCATCAGATGTCTATGTTGAAAATGACCTTACCACCAGAAGTTGATAATACCTTGGTCAGTTGTTATATAGAAAATAAAAAATAATACATGAATATTTATTTAAAGGTTTTTACATTCTCTTATCAGGAAAGGAATTTTAATGGCATTTTTGTTTCCATGGTTATTGCAAGCAAGAAACTTGAAACTAATTGCTTAGTACTGCTAGTTGCTTCCAGGAATGGATTTGAGAGTGTTTTGAGAAGCTTATAGATTCCAACACAATCAAACTAAAATAAATTAATATAAGCTAAACTAATGAAATTTTTGAATAAGGAGAAAATCATAACATGATAAAAAAAGATAGTAGAGGTAATGTATGAAATAGAAGTGATAATCAGTATTAGGGCTTAACTAAAATTCCTTGATCTCCACATAGTTGTTTGGATTTCTTGACCATTTGCTTTGCATTGAAAATCAAATGATCAATAAAGTTAAAAAAAAAAAAGAATTACTTGATAATCTAGATATTGGAAATGTCACAATGTTAAATGTGAATTTTGAAATGTTGCTTAGTTAAAATTCCTTACTTGTATATATTTAATTCATATTGGATGCATAGAAAAATTATATTGGTCCTTAAACTTGGTTGGTTCATAGATACAAACATAAAGACTTTTTGTCCCAACTTACTGATTATGTTTCATTCTCATCATTATCACATCTACCATTTTTAGACAGATTTCTGCTATATGCATCCAAAAATATTTCTAAAATTATTGATAACATAACAATCTCTAATTAAGTATTTTGTTTTTGCAGGATGGTTCCTCTAAAAACCATGAGTTTGCATTAATAAGTCATGAAGTTCGGGATGTTTCTGCCTCAGATCCTAAATCCACCTCCCCAAAGAAAATGGAAGCATACAACATTGGTTTGGTGATATTACAGGACTGTCCGACTACGAGCAGTGGGGGAGGGCAGACTGGAGGGACATCTGACCCTCCTCTTACACTACAGTTTTATATGATATTAACCAGTTCAGAGACATTGTTCCCTAGACAAACACTGGACAGAGATAGAGGAGTGTTATTAAGCAGAAGTCAGTCTACAGGTCAGTGAAATTTTTTATTTACCTTATAAAACATTGTTAACACTGTCTTTAAACTGGGGTCATTTTTATCATTTTTTAACTGGGATAGTGTAGGATCTTATTCTTGAATAAACTATAGGAAATCATATAATTGATAGTTCAATGTTTTATGTTAATTAAATATCAAACTCAACAAATAAAAAATTATCAGAATACTTAAACCTTTCAATTATAGTAACATAAGTTTTATCACTGATAAATTAAGAAATTGTGAATAATCTTAATTATAAGCAATAATTTGTAAGTAAAAGGCACATAACTCATACACAATAAATACATATAAATATAATATATTACAGGTGAAAAAAGGATTTCTGGTGATTTGAAGGACCAGATAACAGTAAAGAAATCAGTTAGTGTAAGAGAACAGAGCACAAATTATCTTGGTTTCTCTAACAAACATCAACCTCCGATGTATAAACTGTTACAGAAAGAAGCTCTTGTTGTCAGGTTAGTTTGGAAGATATGTTAAAATAACTTTTGAGTATTGAATTCATGATAATCTCTAAACTTGCGTTAACCTTTAAGGGAATACCTCAAAATATGACTAGTAACTGTACAGCAAACAATGCAGGTAATTATTAGATGTCACAAATATGCTGGCTGAAATAGGCTGCACTGGTTGCATGGGTAGAATCAATTTCCACCAACAGTTTAAACTTTAATCATATTTGAGCATGATAAATAAAAAATAAGAAAGACATGAAACTTGTTCAACTGTTACAAGCTTAAAACTTAAGATAATTCAGATTAACAAAAATTAAGCATTCAGTTGCTCTTTTCTGGTTACCTAGAAGATATCATCTGGTAAATTTGATGTGCAAAGTCAGTTTGTTTTTTTAGCTCGGCTATTCCTTGTTGGCGTCCCTGTGCTTAAGTTTTTCATGTAAGCTGGTATCTCTTTAACCACTAAAGGGAATGGATCGAAACTTCACACACTTGTTCTCTGTGATTATCTAACATGATTAGCAAAAGTTCTTTAACTCTGATTGCTTTTTTGCATAATTATGCCCCTTTTTCAACTTAGAAATTCTTGGTTAAGTTTTTGCGTGTAAGCTGGTATCTCCATAACTACTGAAGGGAATGGATTGAAACTTCACACACTTGTTCTCTGTGATTATCTTTTTTATCTAACATGATTGGCACAAGTCCCATAACTCTGATTCGCTTTTTTGCATAATAATGCCCCTTTTCGACTTAAAAAATTCTTTAAGTTTTAACATGTAAGCTGGTATCTCCATAACTATTGAAGGGTTTGTGCCTTTTTTTCTGACAATTCTATGCATTCATAATTATCAAGCAGTGATTTACTTGATAGAACATCTTAATAACAAACCTTTTTACCTTTTTGGGACAATTTTATGTATTTATATTGGTAACCATTATTATACTCAATGAAACACCCTTGTGACAACTTTTTCGAATTGTGGAGCACCGCTGTCCTCTGACAGCTCTTGTTATTTACACTATATAACCTGATCTTATATTATAAAATTACTTTATCTTATATAGTTGTTTACATATGATAAGCCATGAGTAAAGCTTTTTAAGGCGACAAAAGATACAGCAAAGGAACTAGAAAGTATCAGAATTTAAATATTTGTTTATTAGAGAAAAGATAGAGAAGATGGCAGTAGCATCTATGGACAAGTGTAGACGAGACACTCTATGGACGAGAATGTTGTTTAGTAAAGCTGATGAACAGAGTGCCAAGAAAAAAAGTGATGCAGATTCATCAAAAGATGTAAAATTTTGTTTGTTTTTATAGGTTTTGTTTAAGGATACAGGATGCCAAAATATTATGTTGTTTGAATTTATTAAAGATATTTCATTTAGACCTGTGCATTATCAAAACAAGGGTTGAAAAGTTTATTTTCCATTGGTGTTATTTAATAGTATCTTTTTAAAAAAGTTTTTTAAAAATGGATTATCCATCTATAACAATTGTTATAAATAAAAATTTGTAACCAAATTGAAAAAAGTATACTTGATTTGTATGTATATTAGCTAGGAATTTTTCGAATAATGAAAAGATGTGAAAATATATGAAAGAAAAAAATAACATGAAACAAGAGAAAATTATCATTCAAAAAGTTGATTTGCATTTTCTTTCAGCTGGAAAAGTTGACATTTGAAGAGTTCCAGGAAATGTTAAAAAGAGTTCACAAGGTACCTCTACATGAGATTGATCCTAGGCTGGTTCCCTTTGTTCACATGTCAACAGCCTGGTACCAAGGATTGGCTCAAGTCCTGACTAACAGCTACCGGTACACAGATTACTTTAAGAGATGTTTCGTTAATCCCGAGAACAGTGCCGAGCAGCATTATGTAAGTGGAAATATATTTATTAATTATTAAAAGTTATATTTTTAACTGGACTTCATTTTCCATGATATTTTATATTACCTTCAATAAAATTTTGAGTGTTTGTCAAGTTTTCTGTAATGCGAAGAATTGATTTTCGGATTAAATTTCAATTTTTATTAACGTAACTGTCGGCTGTAACTGCTACAGAATTATTTTTTTACAGATGCACAAAGTTTAAAGATGTTCTGGTTTATTTGAATTCTATTAAAATAAACTTAAAATAGTTACTTGTGTTAGTTTTGCTTTAAATCAGCACCATAGCAACATTATTTATAAAGCAAAACTGTATCATATTTATAGTTGAAAAAGAGTAGAACAATATTCAAACTAATAAGAATTCTATATGTTTCACTCACCATTTATAATGGTTGGTTATAAGAATTTAAAAAATTACATAATTATGACAATCAATTATACATATCAAGTAAGACCTGTGAAACCATACCAGACAAAAAGTTATACCAGTATCAAGTATATATGTAATATATTTCAGATAATAATCAACCCAAAGTTTGTAGATTTGTTAATGATGTTGTCAGTGGACAGTGTATCAGGGAAAACTGTAAGTTCTTATTCTTTTATGTTTGTTTATAAATTTATTATTTTAATTTGGAAATCAATGCAAACAAATGAAGTTTTGCCTTGCCATGCGTCTGTCCACTTGCCTTGTTGGTCTTAATTCTAATTTCATCACTAATGAAAATGTTTTAAGTATGTATTTCATGTTTAAGCATGTATTTCAAAAAGAAGCCTACATGTAAAACTATTTACAAGCACATGGTGTAATGTCTTGTGTGTGTTCTTGAAAGAGGATTAGTTTACAAATGAGCAAATTTTCCATATTTCAAATATTGATAAAATGATAGAAAAAAATTTATTATTTGGGCATTCTTTTGAAATATTTCTGGAAAACAAAATATTGGTAAGAGTTCTAAAGTGATTTAGAATTAACATTTATGTGATGAATAATATTTTGTCCTAGACCGCTTTATTATTTGCTATATATAGATGTCATATCAGATCATGTGTCAAACACTTACCAACAACATTCATATATAATTCATATATAATTTGTTTTTGTTTGTTTTCACATATGATACTAAATACTATTATATTATGGTATTACAGATTTTCTATTATAGACCAAGTCACATTAAATCCTGTATTTTTCAGGGTCTGTTTGCTGTGTTTAGAAAACCTGCTAAAGAACAAGAGTGTATCCTTCCAGGAAGTCAAAGTCTTCCAGAGCTGAGTGTTCAAAGTCACATGGAACAGTTCATAAATACATGTTGTTTTCACATGTGGAGTTCTATGTTATAGTCCACTAAGACAGTTAATATTATTAAAATGTGTAACTTCCATATGTTGTGTTCTTTGCTAAAGTACACTGAACAGTTTATAACACATGATGCTTTCGTTTATCGAGTTCTTTGGTGTAGTCCACTGAAACAATTCATATACATGTCTTACCTTCGCATATGAAGCTCTATATTATAGTTCACTGGATCAGTTACTTTAATAATGTTGAATTCTTCTATAATAAGTAGCCAAGTATTTTTAACCACAAGTGTGTCTTTAGTTAAAGGGTATAAAACACTTGGTTAATATATATTACATGTATGTATTTATTCTAAATTAATGTGACTTTCACTTGTTATTTTTAATGTTTGAAACTTTTAAACATGAAGTCTAGTTGTATACATTACATTAAGGATAGTGTCTGTATTTCTTTAGTTTATAAACTAGTCACATGATATAGGAAATCATATAATAATAATGTAAACTCTGACAGACATTTTGATAATTTGATATATGTGTGTGATGGTGTTTAATGGTGCTTTCAAATTATTGTTAATAATATAATTTTGTGTGTATTGTTAATTATCCCCCGCCGATGGAATCGGGAGGGGGATATAGTTTTGGCATTGTCCGTCCGTCCTTCCGTCCGTCCGTCCGTCCATCCATCCGTCCGTCCGAATTTCGTTTCCGGAGTATTTCTCTGCAACTTATGGCTGGAATTCAACGAAAACTTTTTATCGGAATGTTGATCAGCATGTGGACGTTGTGCACCTGGGTATTTTCTCTGGAATTTTTAGTATTTTTAGATTATTCCCTTACTCAGTAAAAATTTTGTCCGAATTTCGTATTCCGGAGTAGTTCTTGCCAACTAATGGCTGGAATTCAACCGAAATGGGAATGTTTCGCGTTTGCACACGGGGTAGTTCTTGCAACTAATGGCTGCGAATTTAACGAAACTCTTTAATGGGAATGTTTGATAGAGTCGCGTGTGATCAAGTATGTGCACCTGGGTATTTTCGTCTGGATATTTTTAGCTATTTTTAGAGCCCTTTGTTTGAGTTGGATATGCGGTTTTGTGACCTGCCTGTGACGACTTAGTAAAATTTTTGTAAATTTTGAAAACTTTCGAGGTGTCGCATAGAGTAATTTTGTCAAAAAGTATTCTGACCTAAGAGTCATGAAACTTTACGGGAAATGCTACTGATCATATGTGTAGTTGTGCACCTGGGTATTTTCGTCCCGGATATTTTAGTAGAGTTTTTTTTAGTAAATTTTATTGCCCCTTGTCGACTCAAAAAGTATGTTCCGAATTTCGGTTAGAGTCATGAACTTTACTAGGAATGTTGATCATATGTGAAGTTGTGCCCTGGGTTTTTCGTCTGGATATTTCTTAGTTATTTTTAAGTTATTGCCCTTGACTTAGTAATTTTGTAATTTTCAATCACAATAATCGAGTCACCAGGCCCAGAAAAGGAAGTTTCTAGAATGGAAAATTAAAAATGTTTGTTCAAGTATGTGTAGTTTGGCACCCTGGTGTAGTTTTCCGTCTGGGGATATCTTAGTAGCTTTTTAGATATTTGGCCCCTTTGGGATTAGTAAATTTTGGTAATTTTCAATCACAATCATTCCAAGTCCACAGGGCCCAGAAAAGGTTTCAAAAAATGCAAAATCTAACCAAAAAATTTTGTTAAAAAAATTTTTTTAAAACCCTTTTTTTTTTGGGGTTTTTACCCAAAAAAAATTTTGGCCCCACTTCCAGGGGGCATAGTTTTCCTTCTTCTTGTTTGAAGGTACAAGGCTTCAAGTTCAAAGAATATTACAGTTTATGCCATGATTAATATATAAATAAAGCCTTATGTCTTCAGTTGTTGTGTTAATAATAACCAGTGCTCGGCGGGGGATATAAATTCAACGAATTTGCTTGTTTACATACAGTCAAACTTCGGTAAGTTGAAGGGACTTGCGTAAAAACTTTGACACATCGAACAATTTGACATATAAAATTTCGACTTGTGTATAGGTTTTTATAAAGTATATAGGGGAAAAAAATGGGACTTTTATTTTACTTCGGCTATCGAGAAAATCGACTAATCGAAGTTTGACTCAGAAGTTCTACTGCACATGATCAGTCTTTATTTTTCTCTGCATTTTATATTATTCTACCTATAGTAATATACAAATGAGAGAGGAGAGTTATAATGGCAGGCAGATGATGCTAGCCAATATATAGATGGGCCTGATCAGTCTGCACTTATTATATTTTGTAAGATATTTTAATGTTGTAGTAATTTGACTGTCAACTCTTTGAAATTAACATTGAATGGTTTCATATTCTAATTATGTGTTAATACATGAATTATTACTGGATAGAATGTTACTATGGCTATATGTATTTATATAGAAGTTACAATGGTTGTAGATGATATTTCTTGTCTCGCATTCTACCTTTAATAAAGATTTTACAGCGAAATACATCATTTGGTTATACATTTAATAGACGACAGTAAATATAATATTGTAAATATAAAAATAAATGTTTAAATATCATTTGCTTGATAACATTCCGTTTATCTTTCCATTTTATTATTCATGTTTTTATTTGCTTTTACATATATGCATGTACTTTCTTTATGTTTATAAACATTATTTTGTTATAAATGATTATGATGAAATATTGTTTCTTGTCCTCAATATTTATGTTCGGTATATGCAGAGGCATACATGTTTTTCTTGCCCTCATATGTTTACTTTATTATGATATTGTTAATATGATTTATAAATATTACATAAATTTTGGCATAGAACAAAAGCCTTAAAAAATGTGAAGTCTTTCGGTCTGTGATGCTTTAAATCCATTAAAATTTGAAAACTTTATTGTTCTTGTTTTATTTTTTATTAAAAAAAAGATGAAGATGCAACTAGATTCATAAGGGCAACTTGGTCTTGCCCACTTTTTTAAGAGATAAAAATTATACAGTTGTTAAATGGTGCCATAAAATGCACTCTGCTAAGGGATGTGCTGCAAGCAATATGAATACACTTCTGTGAATGTACTTAGTTTATGCAATTCCTTTTAAATCTGACCTAAGCACAATACAATATCTACTCATAATGGATATTTGACCTCTGAATGAGACCTTTGAGATGCAGATGTGTCAGTCTCATTCAATGAGCATTTGTGCAAGTTATTTTAAAATTTCCAACCTTTATCAAAATAATGGTGCTGACAAGCTACTTTAATCCATTTGTTGATTAGAAGCTGCAAGCTACACTGTCTTGAATTTTGGAATGAGGTTCAGATCCTCTAAATGTTATCAGAAAAAACGAAAATGGTCCAGATTAGCTGTTAACAAACATGTGACATTTGAATTTGTCTAACAGGGAACAGTTTTTGCCCAATAATTTCAAAATGTCCTATACTGTACCAAATTGTGATCCAAACAAACTGGTAATAGTTAAAATGACAGTTGACTTTTCAGAAACATACAAGTGAGTTTAAACACACAAAATGCTGTCTTATCATGGCATTTGCTTATGCTCTTGTATTTATGTATTTGTACATATTCATGTGTCCTGCATTTTACTAAAATTGTGTCCTGTTCAAAACCTATATGTCCATCATAACACCCACAACCATAGCTCTTTGGTCAAGGCATTTAGTAGTCTTTGTGTATCTGGTCAAAACTTGTCACACAATAAATTATGAAATTTATTGGTAGAAATGTAAACCATCGTGAGATGATGTGTCATAAGCAAAACTTGTTCACATAATCATGTAAAAAACGGAGAACATTCCTTATTACAATTGATAGATCCTTACTTTGACCTTTTATTGTTTGGCCTTGAAAAAGGCAACATATAGGGGTTACTTTTGTCGGCAGTGTCAGCGTTGGCGTCCCCGAAAGCTTGTCCAGAGCATAACTCGGTCAATATAAGTTGGATTGACTGGAAACTTGGTATGCATGCTTCTTTCAATGACCCTAAGTGCAGTGCACAAGAATCATTACTCTGCACTTCTTATTGTTTAGTTATTGCCCTTTGTTAATTTTCATACTTTATTTTTTTCCATGTCATTTCTCATAAACTATAAAAGCTATGAGCATAAAACTTAATAGGATGATAAATGTCATTAAGATAAAGTACAGTGCACAAAAATCATTACTCTGCACTTCTTATTTTTTGAGTTATTGCCCTTTGTTAATTTTCATACTTAATTTTTTCTGGGTCATTTCCCGTAAACTATAAAAGCTATGGACATGAAACTTCATAGGATGATAGAACTCATTGAGAAGTGCAGTGCACAAAAACCAGTACTCTGTACTTTTTTTTAACTATTGCCCTTCGTTAATTTTCTTACTTTTGTTTTTGTCTTGGCCATTTCACCTAAATTATAATAGTCATGGACTTGAAACTTCATGGGATGATGAGATCTTATTGAGAAGAAGTGCAGTGCACAAGAATCAGTACTCTGTACTTCATGATTTTTAAGTTATTGCCCTTTTATTTTTGTCTGAGCCAATTCTCCTACACTTTAAGTTCTGTTTACTTGAAACTTCATAGGATGATGGATCTCATTGCGAATAAGTGCAGTGCACATTTTTGAGTTATTGCCCTTCGTTAATTTTCTTACTTTTAATAGGCTTGTCCAGAGCATAATTTGGTCACTATAAGTTTGATTGACTCTAAATTTGGTATGTAAGCTTTTTTCATTGACCTGAAGTGCAGTGCCTAAGAATCCATCACAGAGTACTCCATTTGATCTGTCAGTGTAAAATTTTTCCATGGTATTTTTATTTTTTGATAATATAACAGTTTTATTTAATCTTATGTACACAAAATATTACAGTCAGTTCAAATGCCACTAAAGTTAAAGGTACATGTACATTGCAATATCAGTGTTTATAAATAATCTATATTAACAAGAGCTGTCACAGGAGACAGCGAAGCTCGACTAATAAAATACTGGACGCAGTAAGGAGGACAAAACTATGAAAGAAAAATCAATTATGTATAATTATGTATTAAGTTATAGTAAAAAAATAACATTTGTTAACATTAATTCCAAGGTCAAGGGGAATAATTCTAGAAATAGTCATGCTAGAGTAATGGACCTTGTCACACAACATTTGTGTAATGATAAGAAATATATATTTGAAGTTTGAAGTAGATACCTTAAAAAGTAAAGAAGTTATTATATTTCTTAAAGAAAATCCTAAGTTCAAAGAGAGATAAATCTGTAAATATTGCTTCAAGAGTTATGAACATTGTCACATAAAAATGTAATTGATGATAAGGAATAAGTATTTGAAGTTTGAAGTAGATACCTTTAAAATAAAAATAATATAATAAAAAATAACATTTTTCTAGTAAAAAAATCTAAGTTTATGGGGAGATAATTCTTGCAATATTGGTGCTAGAGTTATGAACCTTGTCACATAAGATGTGGATGATGATAACGTAAATATATTTGAAGTATGAAGTTGATCCCTTTAGAAATAAATAAGTAACAGTAAAAAATAATATTTTTTTATGGAAAATTCTAAGTTCAAAGGGAGATAAATCTGAAAACATTGGTGCTAGAGTTATGAACCTTGTCACATAAGATGGGGATTGATGATAAGGTACATATATTGAAGTATGAGGTTGATCCCTTAAGAAATTAAGAAGAAAACAGTAAGAAATAGTATTTTTTGAGGAAAATTCTAAGTTCAAGGGGAGATAAATCTGAAAATATTGGTGCTAGAGTTATGAACCTTGTCACATAAGATGGGGATGATGATAAGGTACATATATTTGAAGTATGAGGTTGATCCCCTAAGAAATAAAGAAGTAACAGTAAAAAATTGTATTTTTTAAGGAAAATTTTAAGTTCAAGGGGAGATAAATCTGAAAATATTGGTGCTAGAGTTATGAACCTTGTCACATAAGATGTGGTTGATGATAAGGAACATATATTTGAAGTTTGAAGTTGATACCTTAAGAAATGACAAAGTTATAGTGAAAAATATTTTACTGCACCAAAACTTTAATCTAAAATCTGGACGCCGACGCCGGGGCGAGTAGGACAGCTCTCCATATACTTTGTATAGTCAAGCTAAAAAGTAAATGCCTAAGTGACAGCTATACTGTTTACAAGGCGACACATCCGACTCGCCAAGTTCTAGTTGGAATAACCATAGATTTAACCACAAACATTGACATGTGCTCTTTCTGTTAACGTGAAATTCTTATTGTATCCGCTAATCTGATAATTAGAATTAGACAGGTCAGGGATCTATGCATTTTTTGAGAATCGACATACATCATAAATTTAGTTAAAAAATTTGTTAATAAAAATTTCATTAGATATAGCTTTATATCATTTAGAGGGATACTCAGGCAAATGTATGACAAAATATTAAATTTACCATATTTACTTAACTTAAGCTAAAATGAAGTTATTAAAAGTGATTAAAAGTCCCAGCATGTTTTTTTTTTCTGTATAAATACTTTATATTGCGAGTTTAAAACGTAAATAAGTCTACATATGTTGGACGAAATGACGACGCAGACAGAACTAACGAGTAGTTTTAAAACAAGTCATTTGAAAATTACAATCCCTAGAAGTTAAAAAAAACAACAAATATTTTGGATGTAAAATTAAAACAAGCCTAAGTCACTCATTTGACAGGTTCTTTTACGTTTTTATAGTTCACAATGATAAATCTATGGTGAAATCTAAATGCTCTAACCTGACCCTCGTGGGTCAGATTAGGAAACCAACATAAGTTTTCTTTATATGGAGATAAATTTTGTTCCCTAGACTGCTTAGTCTATTCATTTTGATGACATTTATAGAATATTGGATAGAAAATTAAAATATGAAAATATTGCCTGTGTCTCCCTTTAATTCCTTTATGGATTTTGGAAACATATGGGGATTTTCATATTTTACGTTATAAAAAGTGATATTATTTCATTCACAGGCACATAAGTAGAACCCTCCATGTAGCACATTAAAGATTACAAATTAATCATTAATCCATACATCTTTTAATTATTAAAAGTTGCAATATACAGATTACGCATGTGGTAAATCTACTGATCTTATGCAACTTAATTTCACTATAGAAGGGTCAGAAGTTTTTCTTAAAAGACAAGAACTTGTGTGTTCTCTTTATCAATATCTAAAATGGTCTGCTTATAGACAAAATTTGAAAACAACCATTGTTTTGATCGCACAGGGCAAAGTTATCATGAACCTTGTTATAAGCCTTCATTTAAAGTCCAGTAAATTACCTACAATTTGTGTATATACAATTTTCTTTAAGGAAAATAACATCTAACATCATGACTGAAATTACTGTTAAATGGGAAATGTCTATCAGGATTTTCAAGTGACATATAGTTTGAATTCTAATATTAAACTTACTTCTAATATAAAATTAAGCACATGGAATAGTAGCTATTTTTTCTGACTCATATGGATGGAATGAAATAAAACAATACTGTGATTTCAGACAATTTATTATCATCTTAAAATGAACAAAATGGCAATGGTAAATGGATATACCAGTACATAAACTGTCCAATCAAATTTATTCAACTTACATTTCACAAATATTTACTTTAAAAATTCATATTTTTAGAATATGACCCAACTATCAAGCAGTAAATGCACATTTCCAAAATGAAATTATTCCTGTATCAATATTGTAAATAAGTTACTTTTAAACATGACAACATAACATGTCTACAATTAGACTAACTTAAGTTTTTATTTCTCCGTTATCACAAACATATTATAGAATTGCAATGAGCTTTTATTGTTACTGTACATATTTTACTCTCTCCTTGCAACATTTTTATAATAATTTATTGTTGTATCAGTTGCAATCAAAGCTTTAAAAATCAGCAAAACACAGAACATCGGACCACAACAATGTTTCAAAAACAAGTTCAACAATAAAAACGTTCACAAGTGTTTGTTTCAGTAAGACAGTTTGAGTTAATTTTAGGATAAGATCAGGATGGTCCAGTCAGACTATTGGCAACATCTTGAAGCCCGACCTCTGTCAATGCCACCCTCAGTGCTGCAGCAGAATGTTTGTCAGGGTCTTCCTCCTGTATTATAAAACACCAATATATTGTCATAAATAAGAAATGAGCTGCGTCACGACAAAACCAACATAATGCGTTTGCGACCAGCATGGATCCAGACCAGCCTGCTAATCCGTGCAGTCTGATCAGGATCCATACTGTTCGCCATCAGTTTCTCTTCTTGTTATAGGGTTTGTAAGCGAACAGCATGGGTCCTGATCAGACTGCGCTGGTCTGGATCCATTCTGGTCCCAAACGCAGAACGTTGGTTTTGTCATGGCGCGGCTCAAATATTGTAGTAAAAAAATGCAAATACAAGATTATCATAAAATGATGAACATTGTATTAAAAGTACTTCTATTTTATTATAATACAATGATATACTGTCTTATATATGTATACTGTTACTAGAAATATATTCAGCATAGTATCATGTGGTCAATCATACCAACAACTTAATAACAGTTTAGTTACAGTTAGGTGTCCCTGAACAACCTATATATAGATATAGTACATCTGTAATGTATGAACGATTGCATAGCTTATAATATAAATGTACTACATGTACTTTAAAAACAGACAGTTTTGATGAGTCATATCATGCTGGACAAAACGAGAAGCTTCCTTTAAATGTAATATGCCATTATTGGCTTTATTAGACTTAATTGGCTTCATCTGCTTAGGAGTGATCTCCCATTTATATTTATTATATACCTAAAAATTTTCTCCCTAAAATACACTCAAATCTTTAAGCGCAAATACGCTTCAACGGATAGAAATTTCCGTATTATCTTAGTGAAAAATATGGTACCATATATGGAAGTGTCAGATTATTTTTGACGTTGGTTCAGATCTTAGCTTTTGGAAACGGGAACCAAAGTTATTAAAGGCGTGACCGAATTTGCAAGAATTACATATTCATCCGTCAGTCATGAATTTATTTCTTGACAACTATATTTCATTTTCTGAATAAAATGAAAAGGTATATAATAAAAGAAAAATTATGTTGTAATAGCTTTCTGGGGCTATGTATTTTTCTACTCACAACATTGATGCTGCTCATAGCAAAATACAAAGCCTCAGAAAGCTACTACAACATAATATTCCGTATATAATGACTATTTTCACTGAGCCTAGTACCAAATATTACAGGTACATTCTTTTTAAAACCTTTATCATACAAAACTAATGTATTATACCATCCAGATAGTAAGTATTTTAGCTCCAGTGTCAGCATCAGTAAGATCTTCACTCTCAAAGAAAGCTATATCATCCTCAGGAAAGCCAAGTTCTACTGCCACCTTCTTCCAATCTTTGCCAACTTTCTCAGCCACACATCGTATTATATGCTTGTTTAAAACTATTTCTTTACTCTCCATCTCTTCTTTAACTTGATAAAAACATGATGGAAAAAACATAGTATTAAGGAGAATATTATTTAAACAAATACATACTCTAAAACAATGAACAAAGGACAAAAACTGATTAAAAAATCCATGCAATATACAAAACCACATCTACAACATTAATGAGCTGTTATTGAAAAGAACTATTAAAGTATAAAGAGCTATATACCCCTGCCTTTAGTTCATGCAGTTATTATCAAAAAAATTAATTTCAAATTAGCTGTATGAAAGAAAATATTTGTATATTTCCTTATGAGTAAATGGTATGCATTAAATCATTGCTAAACCATTGAACACACTACTTAACCCTTTCCCTCATGAGCATATTGTGAAAAATGGCCGTTTTCATTGAAAAGCCTCCTGTAACAAGTTCAAACTGCTATGAAACTATGAAAAATGCTTCAATACTAATCAAACTTGGCTGGACCATTGCCTTTGTAACGACATGCTCAGTCTTAAATTTCCTGTTACCATGGCAACGAGGGGACGTCTCAAAATTGCCAAAAATCACTATTTTGCCTCGATTTTTTCCATTAAAAATTATTTCAAAGTGCTGCAACTTCTCAAGGGATTTACATAGAGTCAAATGCTTTTCAGCGTTGGTTACAAGTTACCTTATGATCAACCTGGGGTCATTTTTAGCCTCTCACAAGTCCAAAATTTTCTTGGCGATGAGGGGGGACTACCGCCCCCCTTCAAACCCCCCAAACAGAAGGGGGCACATGCCCCTTCTGACAAACGAAAACATGTGTTTGGGGCCCAAATAGGACATTTTTCCACTATTTGAGGCCTAAAAGAGGGGAGGGGGGGGCCGAAAGTGCGTTGTTTCGCGTATATATGAGGTAAAGGGATAAATATTCTGTTCCTGAACATTTTATTTTGTTTACAATGTTAATGTGTGTTAAATAACACATTCTATGGTAAAAGTCTTTGAGAATCAACCACAAGATTATGGAAACAGCACAATTTCATTGTCTTTAAATCTTATGTTTTTACAAGTATATTCCATAAGATATAGTTTCATAACCTTTTAGATCATGAAACATACTAGAACACCATATATACTTTATAATGGTACATACCTTGTTCAGTACTTTTCATATCTTCATCGTCTTGACTTTCTTTAATACCTTCTTCATCTTCAACGTCAGTCTTCATTTCTTCACTTTGCTGATTCTATATATAGAACAACATTTAGTCAGTATAATTCATGATAGTGTCTTATATAAGAACTAGTTTAAATGATGTTACAAGTTAACTCAATTCATTTCATACAGATGTGTCAAGCCTTGAGTGTGAATTTTTGTGAATTTTACTCTAAACGAAACTTACAAAGATTTTTATGGACTTCATATGTGATCATTTTATACCATAATGTTATTATTTCTTAAGACTTAAAAGACAATTTGTGAATAAAATCAAGGCCTATTAAAGTTATAACTAAGCTACTATACTTTACTATAGACATTGCTAGTTCAAGAAAGCAGACACTTAGAATAGTTCAAATAAGCTGTATGCTTTTCTTCAAAATCAAGCTAAAGTACATGAATGTTTAAACTAAAATCAATTGCACTCAAGTGCCGGTATAAAAGGGACTCACTTGAGGGTTTTTGGAAATAATTTTTCAAGATTAATGTTCCAATTATTTTTGTACAAAATTTTCAGATCATTTGCTCACTCTGATTTTCCAAAATAATTATTCTAATTGTGAAAAACAGCCTAAAATTGAAAAGTGTTGCAACTCTTTTCAATTAAGTCAGACTAGAAAACACAAAAATATGATTTTCAATTCATTTTTTTATATGACATAATTATCATTAATTTTGCATATCTTATTTTAACCCTTTCCCCCATGAGCATATTGTGAAAAATGGCAATTTTCACTGAAAAGCCTCCTCTTACAAGTTCAAACTGCTATGAAACTATGAAAAATGCTTCAATACTAATCAAACTTGGCACAAATGTTGACTGGACCATTGCCTTTGTAACGACATGCTCAGTCTTAAATTTCCTGTTACCATGGCAACGAGGGGACATCTCAAAATTGCCAAAAATCAATATTTTGCCTCGATTTTTTCCATCAAAATTTATTTCAAAATGCTGCAACTTCTCAAGGGTTTGAGATAGAGTCAAAGGCTGACCTGGGGTCATTTTAAGCCTCTCACAAGTCCAAAATGTTCTTGGCGATGAGGGGGACTCCGCCCCCTTCAAACCCCCCAAACATAAGGGGGCACATCCCCCTTCTGGCAACCCCCTGATGTATCTTTTGGATGGGGGGCCGCGCCGAAAAAGTGCTCACTTTTTTTAGCAACATTTCTCAGACGAAAACATGTTTGCGGCCCGAATAGGACATTTTTTCACTTTTTCAGGTCTAAAAAAGGGGGGGGGGTGGGGGTCGAAAGTGCGTTGTTTCGCGTATATATGTGGTAAAGGGTTAAATGCCAAAGCTGATCTATGTAAGAAATTAAATTTTTTATAATTTTAGGTGTTTTTTTTTACCATAATGGAGTTCCTTTAAAACACAAAAAAATATAAAAGATTATTTGCAAAATAAAAAAAAATCACACATACTGGTAATTGTTTTGCAATTTTAGACAACATTCCATTGAGATAAGATTTGAGATCCTGGGCTGGTGTGGCAGAATTTGTGAAGAACTGTGGACTACGTCTCGCCAGCAGTCTTAATGCCTTCCATTGAAATGTCTGATCATTTGTTAACCTACAAAAGTACATATCTGGTTTAGTATGAATTTATTCCTTTTGCAAATCAGTCAGATGTTTTGTGCAAAAAATATAAAACTTATTTATGTACTTCTAAATTTTTGTAATTAACAATTTAATTGAAAAAAAAAAGGAGTAAGCTATTATTATTTATTTTTACTATTATTTTTATGTGGATAATTGTTGTGTTTGTTAGGTGAACACTAACACTGTTTCAGCCATGTGGCATGATTTGCCGTTGAAACCTAGAAAGAACCAATGAAAAAACTTATTGTATAAGGTGTAATATATCTTATTATTTTGACATTTCATGAACTGCTTCATATAGTAATACATAGAACTGAATGTCCATTATACAAATTCACGTTTTCCCATGAATTCACATTAACATTTTGAACATAATATATTTACTTGTACTCCTCTTCAACTTGAGCTTCAGGATCATTCTGCTCTATTGCTTCCTGGAAAAAATCTTCCAATGTTGGTAAAAATACCCTGAAAATAGAAAATTAAGCATAGATTTTAAAATATTCAAGACTGTCACAACATCCATGTTTTCTGTTAGAAAAACTGTTGTTGAAAAAAAGACTTGGTAACCAGACAAATGTGTTGAATGTCAATGTTAGCTGTGCAAAGGACAGAACAAATCTATCACATAATGTCAGCAGGGCAAAGATTAAAATAGAACAAATCCATCACATAATGTCAGCAGGGCAAAGACTAAACTGGAACAAATCTATCACACAAATTCAACAGGGCAAATACTAAAATGGAACAAATCTATCACGCAATTAAAGTCAACAGGGCAAAGACTAAAATGAAACAAATCTATCACACACAGTCTGCAGGGCAAAGACTAAAATGAAACAAATCTATCACACACAGTCTGCAGGGCAAAGACTAAAATTGAACAAATCTATCACACAAAGTAAGCAGGGCAAAGACTAAAATGAAACAAATCTATCACACACAGTCTGCAGGGCAAAGACTAAAATGGAACAAATCTATCACACAAAGTCAGCAGGGCAAAGACTAAACTGGAACAAGTCTATCACACAAAGTAAGCAGGGCAAACACTGAAATGGAACAAATCTATCTCACACAGTCAGCAGGGCAAAGACTAAAATTGAACAAATCTATCACACAAAGTAAGCAGGGCAAAGACTAAACTGGAACAAATCTATCTCACACAGTCAGCAGGGCAAAGACTAAAATGAAACAAATCTATCACACACAGTCTGCAGGGCAAAGACTAAAATTGAACAAATCTATCACACAAAGTAAGCAGGGCAAAGACTAAACTGGAACAAGTCTATCACACAAAGTAAGCAGGGCAAACACTGAAATGGAACAAATCTATCTCACACAGTCAGCAGGGCAAATACTAAAATGGAACAAATCTATCTCAACAAAGTCAACAGGGCAAAGACTAAAATTGAACAAATCTATCACACAAAGTAAGCAGGGCAAAGACTAAAATTGAACAAGTCTATCACACAAAGTAAGCCCGGCAAACACTGAAATGGAACAAATCTATCTCACACAGTCAGCAGGGCAAATACTAAAATTGAACAAATCTATCACACAAAGTCAGCAGGGCAAAGACTAAACTGGAACAAGTCTATCACACAAAGTAAGCAGGGCAAATACTGAAATGGAACAAATCTATCTCACACAGTCAGCAGGGCAAAGACTAAAATTGAACAAATCTATCACACAAAGTAAGCAGGGCAAAGACTAAACTGGAACAAGTCTATCACACACAGTCTGCAGGGCAAAGACTAAAATGAAACAAATCTATCACACACAGTCTGCAGGGCAAAGACTAAAATTGAACAAATCTATCACACAAAGTAAGCAGGGCAAAGACTAAAATTGAACAAATCTATCACACAAAGTAAGCAGGGCAAAGACTAAACTGGAACAAGTCTATCACACAAAGTAAGCAGGGCAAACACTGAAATGGAACAAATCTATCTCACACAGTCAGCAGGGCAAATACTAAAATTGAACAAATCTATCACACAAAGTCAGCAGGGCAAAGACTAAACTGGAACAAGTCTATCACACAAAGTAAGCAGGGCAAACACTGAAATGGAACAAATCTATCTCACACAGTCAGCAGGGCAAAGACTAAAATTGAACAAATCTATCACACATAGTCAGCAGCCCAAAGACTAATCTTGAACAAATCTATCACACAAATTCAGCAGGGCAAAGACTAATCTGAAACAAATCTATCACACAAAGTCAACAGGGCAAGGACTAAAATGAAACAAATCTATCACACAAATTCAGCAGGGCAAAGACTAATCTGAAAAAAATCTATCACACAAAGTCAACAGGGCAAGGACTAAAATGGAACAAATCTATCACACAAAATCAACAGGGTTGCAAGGACTAAAATGGAACAAATCTATCACACAAATTCAGCAGGGCAAAGACTAATCTGAAACAAATCTATCACACAAAGTCAACAGGGCAAAGACTAAACTGGAACAAATCTATCACACAAAGTCAAACAGGCAAAGACTAAACTGGAACAAATCTATCACACAAAGTCAACAGGGCAAGACTAAACTGGAACAAATCTATCACACAAAGTCAACAGGGCAAGGACTAAAATGAAACAAATCTATCACACAAAGTCAACAGCGGCAAGGACTAAACTGGAACAAATCTATCACACAAAGTCAACAGGGCAAAGACTAAACTGGAACAAATCTATCACACAAAGTCAACAGGGCAAGGACTAAACTGGAACAAATCTATCACACAAAGTCAACAGGGCGAAGACTAAACTGGAACAAATCTATCACACAAAGTCAACAGGGCAAGGACTAAACTGGAACAAATCTATCACACAAAGTCAACAGGGCAAGGACTAAACTGGAACAAATCTATCACACAAAGTCAACAGGGCAAGGACTAAACTGGAACAAATCTATCACACAAAGTCAACAGGGCAAGGACTAAACTGGAACAAATCTATCACACAAAGTCAACAGGGCAAGGACTAAACTGGAACAAATCTATCACACAAAGTCAGCAGGGCAAAGACTAAACTGGAACAAATCTATCACACAAATTCAGCAAAAATTCATATTTTCTTAAAAAAAATGGTTTTATGGTGTTTTTCAATGTAGAAGCAATAAACAAACAGGTTGTAAAAATATCAAACTTGAAAGCTAAAATTAAACTACCAAAAAAATATATGTGTCAAAATGTTGTAACTCAAATTGTCATATTTTGTTGGTGCGAAACAGTCGTTAATTGAGTTACAACCATTTCACACCAACAATTTGATAATATTTTGAATAAATCTTTGTGCAACACAGTTATATCTCAATATATAATATCATATTCTGTGAGATATTTAGAGGATTATTTCATTCAAATTAACTGACACCTTTATAAAACAACCCCCACTTCTGATTCCCTGTTACACTCATAATTATTTAGCCATAATTTGCACATAACTCAAAAAATTTAAAATACTTTTTTTAACATATTCCAACCAGAAATAAATTTCAATGCTTAACCCATTACTTCATGAGCATTTTGTGAAAAATGGCTGTTTTCAATGAAAAGTCTCCCTTTACAAGTTCAAATCGCTATAAAACTATAAAAACTGCTTCAATACTAGGCTTTTCAGACGAGACCATAGACCCAAAAATCTGATCACTACTGATCTGGCCAGTACTGTTATTTACAGAATTACCATGAAGACATTAAGTGGTCAGTGTGGCTGATTCACAGCATGGGGGGCAATTAATATCCCATTTCCATCTGATAAGCCCAAACCAGAAACTAATGATGGTACTTCTGTTTTTACAGAAATACTAATACAAATAAATTGCTGGCCTCTTGTTCATATTATTTTGTTGAATAGCAGGTTTAAGTCTGTTTTTCTTTTATATTATAATTGTTTTCATTTTTAAAACACAGTGGAAGGCAAATATGAAAAGGTAAGATACTTATTTATTTACTGTTATAATTAAAAATGTTTACTCAGTAACAAGCATTAGTTTATACATGTCTAGATCGGAGAAATAATTCGGTCATTTAAGATAAAACATAAATTGAAAGTAAAGTGCTGCATTTGTATTTAAGCAGTTTTGAGTGCTCATTATATTTAGGTTAATGAATAGATTTAAGGCTAACTTATGTAACAGGCACTGGGGCTTCCTGTAATAATATGAACTTTTAATAACTTTGTAAATACCACTCAGGACAAATTTTTCTATTTGTGTTTTTTTTTTTTGTCAGAAATTAGTTTTGAAATTTATTTCCATTGAATTGGCAGTCAGTTTTACAATCAAGAAAAAAGTACATATATAAAAAAATCATTTGTTTAACGTTTACAATTATGTGATAAGAAACTATTGAAATTTAGCCTTGTACAACAACCTATTTTACTGAATCAAATTATTTTGTAGAACCTTTCAAACTATCTATCATAAGGTCACCGTTTCTATCTAATTTTATTAGAACTTGTTCAGAGTAGGAGCTTTGTTAATAGACCATCTACATTTATTACATTTACCATAAAATATTATTAATGAAATATGTATAAACAGTCAATTCAGTCCAATGTCATAACAATGTGTCTGTTGTTAACGGCATCCGTCTATGTGTCCATTTAGGCACTACTTCTTATCAACCATAGGTTATAACAAAATATAAGTTATTGAAAATAGTCGCTTTTAAGTTTTACTCAAACTTTAAGGTTTCTTTTACAGGTTCTCATCAATGGGTTATCATGAAAATTTTCTCAAAACTTCAAGGATCAACAAAAGATCAGAATACCAATGAGAATTTTATATTCATTGAGGATGTTTATAGTGTCCTTAGCAGAAGTGGAGACAATATTCAGAAAAGTAATTTAAAACGCGCTCTCAAATCAATTTTCAGGCAGGGTAGTTCAAGAACATTCTAGGCAAAGAATGTGCCCACAGTATTGACAGTTTTTAAATATTTATGTCGACATAATACAACCAATTCCTGTAAGAAGATACTTAGAGATATTGAATAACAGCTTGTGTCTGAAGAGAGTACATTTCAAACAACGTCATTAGAACGTTTACAAACTGATAGCCAAAACACAGATATTAAGAACATCAATATTATTTGACTCTTTAAATATCAATGAAAGTGATATTCCAACATTGGTAGTAGATTATAAGCAGAATTTCAATCAGTTGGAATGAAACAAATACTAGTATGCTGGTTTGAGAATGACTTCTCAAAATTCATACAGTTCAGAGAATTTTCATATGAAAACATAGTAAACCTTAAGTGTTTCAAGATTCCAGTCTCTCCTGTCCACTAAATGAATGTAGCAGAAGAGTGGAGCCGATCCTCACTAGCACAAATTAGAAAAAACATACTTCGATACAAATCTTCAGAAAAAGATGATAAATAAGAAATTGTAGCTGGTCAGGTCCACATTGCGTGTCAGCAATAGACCAATGACATAAAATCACTTTTAGATA